GATTAAAACAAAACAACATTCAAATGAGTTTGAAAATTAATAAAAAAAATGGATTTTAACGAATCAATTTGGGCCTAGGCGTATTTTTAAATATTTTTTGCAAAAGATGGGAAAAAAACAATTTTTAATCTTTACCATAATGTAAAGAATATTAAAAAATGCATTACAAATCAAATTCCTTATTTTTGGTAATTTATATACATTTTTTTTTTTTTTTAAATACTGGTTGATCACCAAAACCGCCCAAAACAGGAACTGGCCAGTTCCGATCTAAGCTGGCGGTTAGCGGTTAGATCGTCTGGTTTTGCGAACACTGAAGTCAACTATTTAAGGTACCTCATCTTATGTTCTTCCTTGATACATTAATGAAACTCATAACATTCATTCTTGAACAAAATATTACTTAAACAGAACAAAATATTACTTAAACAACATGGAAGGAAAAAAGGATATTTGTTATTCATTGTACCACTATCGCTATTCCACTTCGTGAAGGTTCATGTGCTGTCAACAACAACTCTTTCAAGTACATGGGAAATTTATGCACCAGTTTTGGTATTTGATCGTTCTGAACTGTATGAATTTTGACATTTATGTCTGGATTATTATATTCTAATAGAGCTTTGTGTGGATGACTCATATACGTCAAATGACACTTGTCAAGCATATTGCTCTGTTGGTAGAGACCAAATACTATTATAACCACAGCATGTAGAAATTGAAAACCATCTCTTGAACAATTTGAAGATATATTTTGGAACCTTTACTTTTCGCCTCTCCATGAGCTGGAGGCATGTACCTGAACCTGATATGGTGTGCAACCTGGAAATTGAAAATCTTTGAAATTAAAGGTTTTCTTTCTTTTAGCAAAATGACTGACTGTTCTTTGCTTTTCACAGACTTCAAAGGCTTTGCAAAACCATTACGTCTTTTGCCAGCCACAGGGGCGACTATTTGTACTGAATTGCCTGTAAAAGAACTATGTACATACTTGGAAGCAGAGCCATCTAGTTCTTTCTATATTGTGCAACTGAGTACAAGCAACGATTATGGCTCAGGTTTGAGCAGCCCAAATTCTACCATACTACTCTGCCTGATAGCTGAAGATGGAAATTCAATATTACAGAGGATACCTGCGGCCTTGCCTGTTACTCATGGGCCATCCGGGGACATGGTCGCCTCAGACTATCTTTGCTTCCAAAGAGGCTCTAATGATATGATATCCTTCAGAGGACCTAAACTGGGAGAAATTGATGCACTCTGGATTGGCCTTGAATCAGGTCGGTCTCATCTCAGGAAAGCCAGGAAAACATTCCAACTTTTTTCCATTGTGCAAACTCTATCATGGCAACCAATCTTACAAATATGTCAAAAAATGCTTGTCTTTCTCTAAGGCTCTCGAGTTCTAGAATAGTTATAAATTCTACAATGAATTTCAACATTCCAAACTACTGATCTTCTCTTTTGAGGCTCTCAGGTTCTTGGAGACTAGGAAGCCTCAGCTTAAGAGTCATCTTCTGCTCGAGTCAATGCTCAAACACTTCTTCAGAAGGAGAAATGGGCTCATGCATGGGATTTGAGTATGGCTTTGAGAGTCGGGATATATTGCTTGGAGATGCTGGTGTGTCCATGACCGAACTTAGACCCTGCCTCAAGAAAGAATTTTCTGGTATGGATGTCCCCAGCTTTCTCAACTCAGTTTCGGATCTACCAACATTGCAAAACTATGTGGCATCATTAGATGAAAGCATGAAGGAGTATGCAGATTTAAAGTTGTCCTTGTTATTGTATGATGCTATGCTCATCTTATTTGGTACATCAGCCATGGCATTATCTAATAATGAGAGGATTGCTTCTTCTTTCTTGGTTGGTGGGGTATGTGGCTTCCTATATCTCTTATTATTGCAGAGATCTGTTGACAAATTGCCTGGGCAAGGGGCTACTTCCTCAGTGAACAGTGAAGAGTCAGAAAAAGAGTATAATGCAGGCCAAGCAGTCCAAGGATTCAAGGGGCCATTAACAAGCCTGGCACTGACCTTGGGATTGGCCATAACTGGGACAAAATTTATCGTGTCAGGGAGCACATCAGTGGTATTAGCCCCACAGGAACTTTTGGTAGGCGTTGCTGGATTTCTTGCTTGTAAGATGGCTGTGGTTTTAGCAGCCTTCAAACCGTTGCAAACAGGATGGAGAGAGAATAAGTGAATGTGTGTATTTCGTAGATATACGGCTCTTTCAGCTTTGGTTATTGTTGTGGAGAACTAAGCTTCATTAGATTCTCACCGAGCTTTGAACATTGGTTCAAAAAAATTCAAAATGAGATGCACCCAGCTTCACATCCTCTTGTAAAAGTCTCAAAGCGCATTTCTCTACCTTGCAAAAATTATGTATGCCAAGACCCTGCTTTTCTCTCCTGAGATCTTTTGTTGCTAAATCATGTAGCCCCTACCAAGCTCCTTCATTCACTACAACCAAATTTATGCTTTCATCCTTGTTTGTATTCCCAAACAATTTAAAGCTTGCATCCTGGACTTCTTTCATTACAACTAAAGCCCTTTTGAAACTATGAGCACGTCATCTAACCTTCCAAATCTTAAAAAGAAAGTAAATTTGGTCTTCAAAATCTTGCACATGCCTCACATTTTTTTGGTCATTTTAACCATCCTGTTTACATTCGTATACAAACTAAGCCCAATCCAATCAATTTATGCATTGAATTGCTTCCCATTGGTGTCAAACCCTTTTCACATGCCTTCTATGCATTTAACCATGGTCTATGTTCGCATATATAATATGTAGCACTGTTATTAAGAATCTAACTTTAGTAGTACATGGGATCACATCCTGCAATCAACACCTCATCTCCAATGTAATTAGAAGTCAGATTCTTCAATTTGGGAAGCTTTGTTCTTGCATCACCTTGACTTTCCATTCTTGAATCATAATATTGTAAGGAATTTATTATTATTTTTTCTCAATGATTTGCTTTACATGGCTAGGTTTTCCACAAAACAAACTTAAAACTTCTTTCACTTCATCGAACTTCTTTATTTGAGCACGTAACCTGCACTTTTCTTTAAATCATTACATACTTCCCTTGAACTGTTGTCCCACTTGTTTGGAGCCAATACACGTTTGCTCTTTGTTGTAGTGCGCCTCCTTACTTCAATATTTCCGATATCTCAAAATCAACTTACCTATCATTTACAAATCAATTTGAAGAAACTCAAATGCCCAAGAACAATATTCATTACAATAAAATTGGGAATAATGAAAAAGGAGCTGAACAGAAATAATTAAGAAAACTAAAAACACAACAAAACACTAAAAACTATAACAAAAATGCCTTTCACCCTAATTGGGTTACATCCACCAACTATAAGGGATATGGATTTGTTTATTATTAGAGGATTACAAGATTTATGGCACTGCCGATTCCCCTCTCTAGTGCCATGAAACAACTATTGAACCGACATCTATTGTCAACTCCACGCAATTTGCCAATGAAACTATCTAACAATAGGGAACTTCTTAGGCAGGGTTTTGCGAAAACCCCCCATTTCAACCTCACTCAAAACTTCAAAAGTTCTAGGATGAATAAAATACAGGTACCCAAAACTTCCTCAATCCAGCAAGTAATCAAACACAAGTACCCAGAACTTCTTTAAGATTCTAGTAGATTACCGAACACAAGTACCTGGAACTTCTTTAAACCTTTCAGAAGATAACTTCTCAACAAAGAAGAACTTCCTATTTTCAAAAAACGTTTATCTTCCAACAAACAAACACACCCTAAGGTTATGACTCTTGATAGAGTGAAATAGTGAACGGAAATTTGTGCAGCTAACCCTGAATAGTTCGGGTAAGCTTGGATGATGATGACGATGGCGGTGATGATGGAGGATGATGATAATGACATTGACGATTTTTTTACTAACCCAAGTTATTTGAAGCTCGGGTGTGTAGTGTACTCCCTGTAAACTCACTTCTTCCATAAGTCGAGGTCAAGCAATTCGGCCGAGTTTGAGTGGACATGGCCCAATACCGCCACACTGATTTACATGGATTACATAACACAGTTATTTTCAAAAGATATATTTAGCAGCCAACATGTGTGTTTTCTACCTCGTATGATGTACAAATTGTTCATAATTGACAGGTCTATATGGAATTTTCACTCTACTGTCTTATATCAGCAGTGAACTTTAATTCCAAATAATTTGAAATAAGAAAATGTTGGTTACCCGATTCCTCCGTTAAATATTTGGTTACTAATAGATGCCAAGTTCCCTCACCAATGCCATTGAGCAGTACATGTCGTAAATTGAATCGGTAAGCGCATTGAGTATATCAGCCTTGCAAATATAATCATCCTCTATCCACTTCTGACGATATTTGGTTAATTCAGGAGTATTCTGCTTCATGTGGTGATAGTAACTCCAGTGTTTGTTATGTGATTACGTATGCAACTTTAAGCATGATCAACAATAACATAAGGTTTTGTTGCCACCTCTTGAAAATAGTCCCATCAAAGCGAACAAGTATGCAAAATTCTGGTTTATAACTTTGATGGAACTCCCACTTGTTTCCATTGTACAATCTTGAAATGTTGGAAATTTGATGAGTGAAAAGGGGGCGGAAGTATTTCATAAGGAAATAATATGAAAATGAAAATAGGGATGAAAGACCTTGTTGTTAACGATCACGTTAAAAAATCACACTCTCAAAACTATATTTTGCCCCTTACTGTTGTTCATGGATGATATAGTTTAGATCAATGAGACCCGAAATGGTGTCAACACAAAGTTAGAAGTTTGGTGGGATGCTTTAGAATCTAAAGATTTTAAAATTAGCTTGACATGAATATAGTAAATGGAATGCAAGTTTAGTAATAATAAGAGTAGAGACGAGGAAGTAGTTAAGATTGACGGTCAATGAACACTAAAAATAGCACACTTTCGATATCTTGGGTCAATAATCCATGAAAATAGAGAGATTGAGGAAGATATCGCACATTTAATTAGATATGGGTGGGCAAAGTGGAGATGCGTAACCGGAATTTTATGTAATCGCCGCATACCAATGAAGCTGAAGGGTAAGTTCTATAGGATAGCTGTGAGACCAACTTTACTTTGTGGGATGCAATGTTGGGGGCTCAAAAAGCAATATATCCATAGAATGAGTGTAGCTGAGATGATGATATTGAGATAGATGAGTGACAAGACAAGAAGGGATAGTATTCAAAATGAATATATTTAGGAGAATTTAAGTATGACACTAATAGACAATAAGCTGAGAAAGTAAACTTAGGTGGGCTGATCATGTGTGGGGCAAACCCATCATAACTTTTATTAAAAAGTGTGAGTTAGTTCAAGTGGAAGGCTAAAAAGTGATAAGGGATAAACTCAAAAAAACATGGTTGAAAGTAGTAAAAAAATATATAAGAATATTTGATCTCATTGATGCTACGACACTTTAAATAAAGCAGAATGGCATATCATGATTCCATTAGTTGAAAAAAAGTTTTGATGATAATGATGACTAGTGTAAAGTTATAAGATGCAAAAAAAAAAATCAAAGATGCAAAAAAAAGTCAAATACTCACCCATTATTGTATGTTATAAGCAAACCTACGGAGCACAAGAGAGAGAAAGTAAGCTCATGTTTTTTGTAGAGAGAGAGAGAGAGAGAAGAACAAGTATAAAAGGTGCATAGAAAATGGGGAGTTCGACCCCTATGTCTAGAGTGAAACAGTGGATCTTAGAAGTGGCTATTATTCATGTGAACAATCACTACTGTTCAACTATGTGTCTTTTGGGTCTCCAACCGTCACAATAATCCAACAGCTATTATAACACCACACAGGAACAACCAATGGCTATGCATGCACCCCAATAGTCTAGTCTCAACGAGACTAGTATCAAAGCCGCCGTTGGACCACTTGCGTGCACGCACACAGCGCTTGCTGTACTCTTTATAAGTGAGCTCAGGGCTCCTCCTCTCCAAAAGTCTGACTGCAAAGTGCACCCTAACGTACGCACACATGTATGCACGTGTGTGTTGCACGCTTCTTGTCTTCTCGCCCTCTCCCTCTCTTTGTTATATATTAAACATGGGGCATGATAGTATTCCTATATAAAAGCCAGTCTAGCTCTATAACTATTATTCAATGTGGGACTAAAACCACCACTATCTATCTAATTACTAAGAACTTACGAAAAAATGCATTTGATACTATATTATTTTGCAATACTAACTAGTGTTTTTTCGTAACTAAAAATATTAACACAATAAAACATCATTTTGGATGGACCATTGTTTCGTTTTTTTGCATTTTTGTATTTTACTTAATTGTAATCATGTACATTGAGTTACAGTTCTTTTTTATTGGCTCATGTAGTACTTGTATTTGATATTGTTGCTTCATTATATGCTCTTAATAAATCTATTGTATGTTTTATATCTTGACGACATAGTAAGCATTGTTATTGTATTTATTGGAAATTCAAACAAAAATTTGTCAAGTACTACACTAATTATAATAGGTAAGGATATAAAATTATTGTACAATAGCTTTAAGTGAAAATAACCTCTACCCCTTTCTCCCAAATTTTCATACCATTAGTCCTTTTGGTTCACCAAAATCCCTTGTATCCCCTCAAGTTTAAAACTTTTGGACCGTTAGCCATCTAATTATGCTTTTATTTGTTCTTTTTACATATTTGATCTTTTTGTTTTACAAAATTGTAAAACCATACATTAGTCATCTATATATTTTTTTTGTCTTGATATACAAATTTTATTGACGATGACGATGATAATACAACAATATGTTAATTGTTAAATAGTTAACAATTGTGATAAAGATATTGATTAATTGCGATAAAGATCATATTGCAAGTTTAAAAGATATTGATGCAATTGTAAAATAGGTCATAATATTAAAGAAAAAGTTATTTTCTTTCCAAGTTTAAATTTGTAGAGTGGGGGTCCACAAAAGTAAGATTGGTTTGGCGCAAAGGAAAGGAAAGGGAAGGTAGTTGACTAATGGATGAGTTTGACATTTTGTAAAACAAAAAGATCAAATTTGTAAAAAGAAACAAACAAATGTTTTTAGCTGGATCCAAAATGTTCATTGTACTTTAACTAACCTAATTTTTGGCAATCCACATTCCCGACCCCGGTTTTTTTTTTGCATAAGACTTTTAACATATTTATTATGGATATTTTGGTTCATCAATATATTATTATGGAAAAGGTTTATGTAGAGCCAAGGCTATGATTTGATGCCCACATAAAAAATTTCACCATAAAAAATTTCACCAGAAGTGGTTGTTTTGATGTTAAAATTTCCTCAAATTGATTATCCACATCAAGATGCATGAACATGAGAAAAAAAAAAGGATTTTAGTTTTGAAAATAGTGCATCTTGTAACGTAATTTCCGGACCGTCAATTTTCAAGATTTCATAGATCCGCTCGATCTACACTATTTTTGAAACTCTAAATTTTATAATTAAAAATAAAATAATATTTTAAAGCTATCACAAAGATTTACAGTATTGAAACGACACTATTCGAAGTGTGATAAACTTGTGATTTTGCCAATGAGGTTGCAAGTCTGATAAACTCCAAGTTCTTGAAGACCTGTGCGTGGAGGAGGTCCTTGGCATTGCGTGTCTCGGTATCATCTGCCTCCGACACCGCATCACACAGTATCCGTGCTGATACTTCTGTTCTCCAAGTTTGTCCTCCGACACGAAGCGTACATTGAGATTTTGCTCGCACTGTATCGAAAGTAGCACCAGCCTTCGCCCTCCCCGAGGCGAGCCCCTCAGCCAACGAGCTTGCTCCTCCATGCGTGAAGAACGTCCCGACCGCAGGGTGCTCCAGGACCTTCGTTTGTGGGTGCCAACACCAGTCCCCCTCTTCTTTACCCCATCTCCGGCCCCTAGCTCCCTTTGCCGAGGTGTTTGTATGAACCAGAGAAAGCGGACGCCAGCCGCCTCGAGCCCCAAGTGCGACTGCCTCTATCTGGCCTGGTGTGAGCACACATTCAGTGCCAAAGGCCAGATAGGCCACCCACCTATTTTGCTGCCTATCCAGCCATTCTAGAGCTTCAATCCAGGGTTTCATGGCCTCTCCCTCACCACTACCAACCAATGGTGGCTAATCACTGGGCCGAGGGGCAACATCTTCCTGTAATCGTATTCATGTCCACCGTCATTTTCTTTGTGACCATTTCCATACTGTTTCTCCAAGAATTCAAAGTACTTACCCTTTGGATGATCGGAATATGACCATGTCGGAATCGGAGATATTCCGAACCAAGCGGTGACACCCAACTCAACGAGGGTGTAAACACCAATCTTGCACTTGGTCTCAAAGGGGTAGAGGTGGATAGCAAGGTGGGAAACCAGGCGGCGGAAGATGCTGAAGAAGGCGGCTCTGAGATAGCCAGGCGCTTTGCAAAGTGGAAGAAGGGGAGGATGTGGCCCGAGGCCAGCCATGGCACTGAGAGGAAGTGAAGCTTTGGTGGTGTGTCCATGGTGGTGGAGAGAGAGATATGGTGGTAGTGAGAGAAGACCATTTTGGAATGAGAAGAACGAAGATGCGTAACCCCTTTCCTATTAACTTATTTTATGTAAGAGGAGGTTACAACACTGGATAATAATGTCGCCTTATTTACACCGTTAAACGGAATAGTTTTTTTTGTTTTTTGGGTTAATTCAGTGGCGTTGACATAGGGTGGCAACAGGTCGGGCATGGGTCGGGTCCAGACCCGGACTCCAATAGGCTGTGATGGATCCATACCTGGATCTGGACCCGACGGATCCAAAGAAACTATACCCGTACCCACGACCCAACCGGTGCCCGGACTCCAACCACTCCCATCTTGCTCTCTGCTATCATCGCTCTATTGCCACCAAAGTCCCTATTGAAGCCTCCACCACCACTACTATCAGCACCGCTGCCAGCCCAACCACCACAATCTAGCCGCTACTCCTACCCACCAACATCGCCGCCACCACCGGCACCACATCCTACCCGCCACTCTACCACGACCACACCACTGCACCACCACTATCGCCTAGTTACCAGCCTAGCTATCACCACCACCACCACTGCTCCACCACCACTACTCTACCACAAGACCCTCAGGAGTAACAAACCAATGGAGATAGAGTGTATCTCACTCTAAAGACTAAACTCCCCCATCTTTCCTTCTTTCTCTCTAGAAATTGTTCCTTTTCTCTTTGAATTTAGCAAGATGGGATATTCCTCTCTCTAAACAACGCACATTCTATCTCTAGGTAGTTGCTCATATTTGAATTTGACACACTCTCTCTCTAACTTTCCAGGACCACCACCACGCTCACCATGTGCCTTGGGATGCATCAATGCCAGTCCGGCCTCACGTGGCCTTTGGTTTTTTTCAGTATAATATAATATATATATATATATATAATAAATTCGGGTTCGGGTATCCGTACTTGAATCCAAGACTATTCGGGTATCTTTTGTTGGACTTGGACCCTGGTTTTGAAGTAGATTAGGAATTAGATTTTTGAAAGTATTAGTAGGGTGATTTTATTGGTAGGAATAGAAATCATAATGGGGTGATTAGGTGTAGGAATGTTACCACCACGTGCGGATGCTACCACCACGACCCCAACCCTTTTTCTAGTTGATTGAATAGTTGTGTCGCCTTTCATGCAAAACATTTATGGTGTGAAGTTGTTCGCATGGTTGCGATCAATGTTATCATATTCGAAATTGGAGTTCTCTTTGGTTTGGTGAGAAAAGTGAAACAATTCGTGCTTCGGCCGATTTGGGAGAAGACTTTGGATTGTTTTAAAATTTAATATATATAAATTAGATATTTATATATAAAATAATGAAAAATTTTAAATACGAATTTTAAAAAAAAAATCACTTTTATAAGATATTTCTTTGTTTTGACTGAAGAGGCCGAAGCTTTGACTGAATTGACTCGAAACCATTCGAAGCAATAGCACCAGGCAATGTTATCACATTCACTTTGTTTTGGTCAAAGAGGCTAAAGCTTTTGGATTTTAGCCATAAACCAAATAGAAGTGAAGCCCGATGCTGTCATTTTGGCTAGATTCGTACCGCTTCAAACTTCTTCTGTCAAAATTCTGACCGCTTCGGATCTGCTTCGGCCAGCAAAGAAACAACTATATAAATGTATTCTTTTTAATTTTTTAATTTTAATATTTCCGTTATTTGTATAGATTTTATATATAAATATAAAAAAAATTTATATTAATTTTTTTTTAAAAAAAAATCCGAAATCTTCTCCCGCATCAACCAAACTATCGAAATGCTTCATTTTTCTCACCAAATCAAAAAAAGACTTCTAAAATGAAATTAAAAACATTAAGGATTGTTTCTCTTGACTTCGGTCCAGGTCTGGAATCCAAAGGCTTCGGTTTCGGCCGCTATTGAGCCGAAGTGAAGCGAATCGAATATGAATACAATGATTGACTTTCTTGCCATGATATAATTATTCGCCTTTTTTTTACAGTTAAATAATTGTGTCGGTTTTCATGCAAAATATTTGTGGTGGAGAAGTTGCTGTAGAGGCTGTGACTTTTCTAGTCATATGAGGGGTGTGAGATACATGATAAAACACGTGATGCACGGTTCCCTATATTTAATATAAGGGAAATTTAATTGGTTGTTTTAATGAATTTCCCTAAAGGTGGCATTCAAGTATGAGTGCGTACAACTTACTCTTATGGTCTTAGGGACCATAATTGTATCTTTTCTCTTTAAGGACTTTTGGAGTATTTTTCAACACTTATATTTGATCGTGCAATTTTAAAATCTCTAAATCAAGTTTGGTTGCCAACCACTGATCTGAATTGGTTGGACCGATAAATTAAATTGGCCAAATCGGTAGAATGGTTTATTAAAATAGTCATTATCATAATAGTATTTTTTTAATTATTTGGAATAGACCACACAAATCTTGATCCGTCATCCTACTCTATCAAAAGCAAAAACACAAATTTAGAATTCATATAAAGTTTTTGGAATCGTTTTACACAAGATGCCTAGCTAATACAACCCATTTTCTTTACTCGAGCTTTGGACGAGTCAAGAAAAAATTTAAGATCCCCACGTTTTTTAGACCATGATTAGTTACAAAAAAAAAAAAAAAAAAATGTAGACGATCTAGGGGAGGGACTCAGATTACCCATCCACCAAATTTGATTTGGATTGTCAAAATGCATTCAATGATGGAGAGAGGCACTGAGCATTAGGTCATAGATTATTAAAACCGCGCGAATCTTGAGCACGGGAGTTGGCTTTAATGCATCCACCTTGTCATTGAGAGGCGCTTAGCATTCGGTAATAGATTATTATGACCACGTTAACCTTGTGATACGGGCCTAGTATGGGAGTGGGCTTGCTTTAATGACATTGGCTTAGTGTAGATCGAACAAATCTATAAAAATTTGAATGACTTAAAAATTAACGGTCTAAAAATACGTCACAAGATATACTATTTTTAAAACTTTAAATCTATTTTTTTCTCAATTCTTGATGTCAAGATGATCAATTTTTGAGGAAGGCTTTAGTTTGATTGTTTAGAGCTTAAGCTCTACATAAACTTTTAGGAAAGTATAGAACGAGATTTTTTATCGTTGGTACAAGGTGGGGACATTAATCTTGACCATTGGATGTGAAATTGCGCGGCTGCAATTATTCCATTGACCATATTCAAACTTCAAAAGAAATTTTCTCGAATTTTGTAACACATCCAAGCTATCAAACTTCACATTGGATGATTGTAAATAATTGTGACCATCTTGTATCAAAGATAAATGAACTCATTGTATACAATCCCTAAATTTTTCTCATATTTTAAAGACGTGTATAATGAAAAAAGTACTAATACATTTAAATTTGAACACTTACAAAAAGGAAGGCATCACATTACGTAAAAAAGGGGGTGAGTATTTTAGAAAGAGAAGGGAAGAGGAACACGTTGGTAAAAAAAAGGGCGAATGTTTTAGAAAGAGAAGGGAAGAGGAGCACCTTTGTAAGGTTAAAAAGTTATGGTCCTCAAATTTGGGCAAGGCTTTAGAGAGAGAGTCACACTTCTATACGGACTTCAAATTTATGAGGACTATTGTATGTTTTGTAGTGAGTCTGTTAAGCTCCACATTATGTCAATTCCGCAATGCATTTCTCTAGCTATTGGGGAGAGTAATTGATTTCACAGTTTTGAAAGAAATTCTTGATAATATGTTTGATTTCCTGCTTATCATGTGCGTACCCAAACACCCAAACACTATAAATGACGAATTTCCTAGTAATCTATTTCCCTGTAATTGATTTACAGGTACCCAAATAGTATAAGGAGAGCACACCGCAAAAAAAGGGGTATCTTATGCAAACCTCACCCATAATAGAAACGGTTCTTGAGGATTAGATATTCACAAGCTAACTGTATATTCCAAAAAAATAAAAAATAAAGAGGGTATCTTATGCAAACCTCATCCTTTATGGAAACGGCGTGCCATTAGTTATTGAGGTTTAGAGATTCACAAGCTAACTGTATATTCCTATTGTTTCTGTCTGAAGGATTTATGCTTCATAGAGAAGAAGCTCCCTTTCTTCCTCTCTTTCTCTCACATGCTGATTCATATATTAGCATCTCTTCTCCCCATCAAACCTTCTCTAGCTTTTTCATATCCGCCCTCACTTTCTCTCAAGGTCTTCCCTTTTTCTCCCCTCTCAAAATTTGTATACACAGATTGCACCCAATAAGAACAATAGAAAATATTTTGAAAAAAATTGACAAAATATCCTGCATATTTGTCTAATATATATTTTATTATTTTTATTGAGTGTGCTATGTGAAAATGATTCTACAAAGCCCAAATTTCAAGTAAAAATGAATTTGTAAATTTAAAAATAGGAAAATTTACATATGAATACTATTTGAAATAGAAAAATAGTTCTCCATATTTTATATTTTACAATCAAGTCTCATTTTTTTAAAACATAAAGTATATTTTAATTATAAGTTTTTTTATACACCAAATTAAATTCAAATTTAGTTAGTATGTCTATGTTTTTCACCATCATATATCTACAAAAACTATTAGAAAATAAAAAAATAAAATTGAATTACGCTATAAAAACTTGGGTATATTGTTCCTTAATTGCTTGTGGACTTCACAAAGGCAAGTTAGTTTTTGAGTATGTTGGACTCTTTATTTATTGGGTAATTTAGTAGGGAAGACATGCCCCTACCGTTCTTTCAATAGATTGGAGAGTTGCATTTTGAAGGCATTAATTGAAGGTGTCAACAGTAGGAATGAATACACCACGATGTGGTGCCTGGGTGTGGGGATGCTACACCACGTCCCCAACCCTTTTCCTTTTTGGACTCTTTATTTGACACACAAATCTCTTACATTTTGAAGGTGTTAATTGGAGGTGTCAACAGTAAGAAGGGATACACTACGATGTGGTACGTAGGTGTAGGGATGCTACACCACGTCCACAACCCCATTCCTTTTTGAACTCTTTATTTGGCGCACAGATCTCACATATATGTTAAAACTTAGGGATGGACGATCTAAACAATGTGATACATAACATATTATTTTTAGAGCATGAAATCCATTATTTTTTTTCACATCTATAATGGTCAAAATGAGCAATTCAATTGTAATAATGTGATGCATAACATATTATTTTTAGAGCATGAAATCCATTAGTTTTTTCACATCTATAATGGTCAAGATGAACAATTCAATTGTTTTCCAACATCAATTTTCAGTTAAGTTAAATTTGAGATGGGACTTTATTTTTTCATAAGGTCTAAACCTTATTTTAACCTTTTCCAACTAAATTTGGATGCCGGCAAGACATCAAGTAATCAATCTAGAGAAAATTCAGAGACTGCAAAGAAAGCAAAGCCAAGAGAAAAATCTAAGTGAAAAAGTTTATGGAAAAACATTTCCTTTCTCAGCAATTTGTCTTGAATGCAGTTGACTTGAACATAACTGAAACAGCTAGGGTATATTCTCTGCAACGAGCAGTAGTAGAGACAGAGAGAGAGAGAGAGAGGTGCAACTTGACCGGAGAAGAGCAAGAAATTGTATATGGATTATTGGGGAAAGGCCCTAGAAAGAAAAATAAATGAAATCTATATGGGAACAGATTAAAATAGTGCCTAGGCTATGAGAAGAGTAAGCCACACTCAAAATCTAACCGAAAATTGCATTGCAGGGGTCTATTTCCATACCTGTACCATTTTTCGAACTATAAATATGATAATCATTGGTGGAAATCGATGTTAGAGCTATCAGGGGGGTTTGATGCACGAAGTTTTTCCAGATAAGGTTTTGAGGAGAAGCTCTACTCTTCCATAACGCCCAGGCTTTATAGAAACAGCATCCAATTTAGTTTTAGCGAAGATAACTGGATCTTTGCGTGTTAGTTTTCATTCACCCTCGAACCTTACCTTGCTGAAGTTGAAGAAACAATCAATAGGAAGTAAATTTTGAAGAAGGTAATGCAAAACAATACAAGGATTTGTCCACAAGAAACCCGAGCAGACGTCTCATTCTCAAGAATTTCTCAGCAACAAAAAACAATACTGAGAACAGAAGGAATAAAACCTAGTGGGAACAGAAATACAATTTGTTAAAAGGCTGTACAATCTCAGAGTCGAAAGGATCTAAGTAGTTGATAAACAGAGAACACCATGTACATGATATTCAGAACAGGGGTAAACGCATGCTTCACAACAGTCACGCCAATTGCCTCTCCTGAAAGAACTTCCCCAACTGCTGGTAAAGGCTTATTTGCTCCTCAATTGTAAGATTATTCAATATCTGGATCACAACCATCCATAAATGGATAATGTCATAAAAAAAGAACAATATTGCAATTTCTTAAAAGAATACGAAAAGATATGTGACAAGCTGATGTACCTGGTCCAATATCATCTCAACAGAAGTGCTTTGAGTTGCAATGAATGACTGATAATAGATGTAAGAAAACACAGCCATCACCATCTACAACAAAAAACAAAATACATACAATGATAAGAAAACACTCAATGCAGACCAATGCAAACACGGTTCTTTTCATGTGAAAACTACTGCCAGAATCAAGAAACATGGACAGATTCTCATTGATTCAAACAAGGGATAATCTACAAATAGCGAGACAGTACAAAGTACATAAAAATAATAAGAAACAACTACCCTCAAACTAATTAACGAATTACATATACTGATATACATCTCAACAACACTCAAACTTGCGCATCAGTAGAAATGAAGTAAAAGTTTGCTCAAAAGATAATCATGTTGCTGTTTATTAAGAGCTTTGGTAAATATCTCGGCAAATTGACTTTGAAGAAAGGTAAGGGAAAGTACAAAAGCCTTACCAATTATAATAGCAATCAGCCTCAATATGCTTGGTCCAATAATGGAATACAAGTTTTTTAGCAATCTTTATAGCACTATATTATCTCCATTGAGAGGTATAGGCAATAAATGAGGGACACCAAAATGAGAGAAAATCATGCAAAATCCAGAGAATCTCATCAGAGACAGTAGAACATGACCACTCTGCTCTGCTTATTAATTTAGAATCTGCTCTGCTTATTAATTTAGAATCTACACTCTTGATTTCTTGCACCACCAAGAAAAAAGTAAATAACCAATACCCTGTAGCCGATCTGCATATGTCAGATCAGCCGCCCTACTCTTTGTCAATAAATGCAACAGACTGATGATCAGAGGATGCAGAGAAAAATTGACCACCATCAAGTGTTGACCAAATTATATCAGATGATGTGATGAACAATCATGAGTTGACTGAGGAGCATAAACAAACTCGCCAGCATGATAAATTGCATAACTGATATCTAGCCTGGTAATAGTTAACTCCACCAACTTACCACCAGTATGAAACACAGATCTGGGAGCTGTCCCCATTACATGTGGATAACTCAACATTAAGTTCTACTGGGGTATCTGCAATCTTGAAGTCAATGAGGTCAGCTCGAGAGAGAACACCACAAGCACACACGTGCTGATTAACAAAGATTCCTCGAGCAGACTGAGTACTCTCTAAACCAAGAAAATGCGATAACGGCCCCATCTGTCATTCGAAACTGCCATTATAAAATATGTCTCATATGAGAAATAGTATCTTATAATCGCTTGTAAGAACAATGTCATATACTAACTTCTCACCTGAGTGGTACACAGATAAGGATCTGTAGAACAATGAACCCCCTTAAACAACAGCCGGTCTAAAACAATCAAATTAAGCTCGAGAAGCTTGCTTGGAGCCATAAGAGGCCCCTTTAAGCCGACAAACTAAATTAGGAGGAGTCACTTGTCTGGGTGGAGGCTTTATATAAATTTCTTCTTTGAAGAATGTATTAAAAAAACATTTCGACATCCATTTGATGAAAATCCCAATGTCTCCCATCTTTTCATATCCCCTCTTTCAAATGTCCCCTCCCACCTCTGCTGTCCTATAGCCCTACCTGCCCACAGCAGACTACTCCCCCCATCCCCAGTGCGGAACCCCCAAATTTTCGCTCCTCAGTGTCCCTCTCATTGGCTTCCGTTGACTCCAACTTTGTGGATGCTTTGGACCAAGCAAAAAGGTAACGCAGAAGAAGTCCTCAGGGTCATGGGATTCTGGTATAATGAGCCTCATGAAGCCCTCGAAGCATTTATCAAAGCAGATGGTGAATCAAGATCATCAAAGAAGGCCAAAGGCAAAGCCTCCGCACCTATCCTCAAGGGGGCCCATGAACTTTCTAACCTTACTTTCAGGGTGAGATACGAGAAAGGCGAATCCTCCGCCAACATAACCCTCACTTAAGTCGTTCGACCTGCCCTAATAGAAAGTCATTCTACTCTTCCCCCTCCATTCGATCAAGTGACTCCTATTCCCGTCCCTCGCTTTCATGGCAGGGACACCTGCCTCCCTCTCCCAACAAGAGTCAAACCCTTGTGTCAAAAGTTTTTCGGCTAGGGTTTCGGCTAGGGACTGCTGGAACGAAAGTTGCATGAAACAGATATATTGGGTCAGAAGCTTCAGTCAAATCGGTCCTGCCCGTTGCTCATCTAGGCAAAGCCCCTCCCCCCCTATCCTTGCAATGAAGATTCTAATGTGGAATATCCGGGGCCTCGGATACCCAGACAAATAGAGCCATGTGCACCAGTTAACATCTAAGCTTGCATTCTCTCTTCTTGGTTTGGTGGAAACCAAGCTCCCCTCTCCTTCCATATTTCACATCAGGCAAATATGGGGTTTCCGACCTTGCCAATAGGTTGCCCTTGGCGCATAACATTCTCCCATACTTCTTTTAGACATTCTCAGCTCCACATATTCTTGTACAGTCAAGGGGGATTGATTTCGTGAAAGATAGAGATCAGCAAATGGAAAACTACTTATTTTTATCATTATAAGACCCGTCAATATGGTACCGAGGGTGTATTTAGAATATACCGGATCAGTATAGCTAGCCTTCCTCTGACACAACAATGCAGTTTCGACAAAAAAAAAAAGTTCCATAATTCCTTTCTTCCTTTTTTGTTCCATGTCTATGCAGAACTGTGTGTCATTCAATAAAAGATTATTGTAGTATAAGGTTTCATATTGCTTGCTTTGAAATCTAAATTGGTGGCATTTGGGTCCTTTGGGCCCCTACCCTGCACTCTTTGGTGGCCTCCCACATCGGCTAGTTTTTGCTCACTGTGACCTTATCTAGGAAGTCCGGCTTCCTTCACTGGAAATGCACTGTGGTCTACAGACCTAATAAAGATAGCAGGAGAGATGCCTTCTGGAGAGGGCCTCAAACTGCCTGACCTTGTCCTCCTCCATTTGGTGCCTAGGGAGAGACTTTAACATAACCCGATGGTCCCATGAACGGAACTTCCATGATCCAGCCATGGTCCAATTTTCAGACTTTATCTCCTACAATCACCTCATAGATATCCCTCTCGAAGGGGCTCAATTCATCTGGTCCAGCAACTCAGCTTGCCCTAGCCTTTCCAAACTAGACAGATTCTTAACCTCCATAGATTGGGATCACCTTTTTCCCTAGAACCCACTCCATGGTACTCCCTAAACCCACCTTAGACCACCGACCCATTCTCCTTGACAACGAAGCTATCTCCCAGGGGCCTAAACCTTTTTGTTTCGAGATGGCTTGGTTCCAAGAGGCAAATTTCCCCTCCATAGTTTGTTTGCAATGGGGCTCCTTTGCTCCACTTGTGAAAGGATGAGCAGGTTTCAGATTTCAAAAGAAACTCCAATTACTCAACTGGTTTTCTCAAATCATGGGGATCCCAACTGCCAGGAAATTTTTGCTCCCAGAAGTGGCCCTGCTGCAGTCAATTCAACATTGGGACTTCATTGAAGAACAGAGGACCCTCTTCCCCTCTGAACTGGAGGCTCACTCCAGGGACAAATTGGACTTCCATACCCTCTTAAAGAAATAAGAGATCTACTAGTCTCAGCGGGCTAAAGTCAAATAGTTAAAGCTTGGCGACCAAAATACTGCATATTTCCACAAAATAGCACACTGCCGAAGGGGAGAAAACTCCATTACTCATCTGAAGGAGAGGGAACAAATCCTAGACCAGCCGCATCTCATTGAGCAGGTCGTTATCCATTACTTCTCCCAACTCCTCTCCACTCCTGCACTGACTAGATCTGTAATGGCAGACCTTTCTTTCTTAACCATCCCCCCAAAACTGCAGCCTCCCTTGAATGCTCCTTTTCTAAGAACGAGGTCCTCCATGCCATTAGGGACCTCAGTAGCAACCGAGCCCCTCCTACCCTCACCTTGATATCTCCATCCATTGCAGCAAAGGCATGGTGCTCCTTCTTGCCTCCCAAGATCCAATTATTTAACTGGATCGCTCTCCATGAGATGGCTCTTACCTTAGATCAACTGCAGCGCAGAGGTTTACCCTTACCGAATAGATGAATCATGCGCCTGAAAGCCGAAGAGACAAATCAGCATCTCTTCTTACATTGCGAGGTCGCAACAGCCTTTTGGACCAACCTCTTGCTCCTCTTCAATTGGTAGTGGGTTACTCCCCAGTCTGTCCCTTATCTTTTCTCTACTTGCCTTCTCACCCGTGGGGCAAATCCAGAGAACTCCTTTTGAAGGCTTCCATCTCAGCCACTCTGTGAACTATATGGTTAGAGAGAAATAGTAGGATTTCAGAGGAGAAAGCCACCATCCTTGTTATCATCGGGAAGAAGCTGTCAATTAGAAACTTTTCACCAACTACTTCACCGATCTTTGCCATCACTGGGAGAACTTGCTGAATCTAAGAACCCAAAGGATTCCCCACGCCTCTTTACGGAGCCCACCTGACTTTGGGGTTACACAAACTAAATTTTGAGGGTCCCTCATTTGGCAACCAGGGTCCCTCATGCATTGAAGGCACATTTAGAGATTCTGAAGGCCTCAACATCCTATCCTTCTCTTTGCCCATTGGTTTTATGGACTCCACCACCGCGGAGGCCATCGCCCTTCTTGAAGGGCTTCGTAGATTTGATATGGACTAGAGTACTCAGTTAATGGTCTAGGGTGACTCTAGAAATACCATCACCTAGGCCACTGGAGTTGCCCCATGCCCATGCAGACTAGACAACATTTTTACCAAGATAGCTCACATTTGTGGCACTACCAAGGTCTCTTGGAGACACGTCCATAGGGAAGACAACGATGCCGCCGAAGTGTTAGCTAGGGCAGGAGCTATCCTCAACACCTCCTAGGGGTCTGCAGGCATTTTATAAACTTGCCTCCAACTTATTATATTATCACTAGTGTAGAGCATTTTTTGCGCCCCATGGGGTTTTTGTACAGGGCACCCACTCTCTAGGTTGCCTATATTTTGCACCTACTCTTTGCTTGTACTTCTTTATACATATTAATACAAAGTCAACTCATTCAAAAAAAAAAAACCCAATATCTCACAGCTGAAACTAATAAAACAACACAAACGGCAGCAAGTTAGGCCATAAATGCAAATGTTTCATCACAGACCAAATCATACGCTAAGTTCGGCGATGAGTGCAAATGTTTAATCACAGTCCAAATCATATGCTTGTCTGAAGCCTTTACCTACAGGCCGAGATTCATGCTAACTGATGCAACCATTCGGTAACGCCTTAACCATATACATCCGTTTATAGCCAATGAGATTCTTTCCAGTTAGAAGAGTAACTAAGCCCCAAGTATCATTTTATTCCAAGTCTGAAGTTCCTTAGCCATTCAGGAGTCTTGTTTCACAGAAACTTTGTAACTACTAGATTCAAAAGTAAAAGGTTAAGTAAGAAGAGAAATGACAAAGAGATGCAGACTCAAAACCATAACAATCAAGTGGAAAAAATTCAACCAGGATTGAAGTAATGCACGAGTGGTCTCCATAATATGCCCGGCTCTTATGTTCAACAACCCTAGTTTGTTCCAAGCAGTGTATGTGTGCTCTGGTGGATGATACCCTAATGACTTAAAGAACTCTTGAAACTTCCAAGTATTCACCACCAGATTGGTTCTTGAGAGTCTTTTGGGTCGTTTGGTTCGCGTGAAATAGTTTGATAGGAAAATGTCTACACAAAAAATATCTACATACGCAAACAATCTACAAGAAAAGAATTACTCAAGCTTGTTTTTTCCTATGTTTGGTAAACACAGTTGGAAACCGGTAGAGTGAGAGAGAACACAACAAGGAAAACAGGCATCTATAAATACATTGCAAGGACACTTAGAAATATTGTAGGAATATAATCAATTAATCATATTTGACAGAATTTATAAGAAAAAAGAAGGGAAGTTATAGACACCCCCTGGACTATGCTTTCCAGGCATGCTCCCCCCAATTACTTTTTAAACCACACCACTACGACTTATTTTTGCATCCACCCCCAAATAAGAAAGTAGTTTCTTGGGACAAAAATACCCCATATATAAACTAGAATTTGAGATCGTTGCTCTCTCTAAAATTTTGGTGATAATTTATATCTTTAAAACTTAAAATTTGATAAAATTTCTCTCTAAAAATTTTTAAATATTCTCTCTAAAACTTAAAATTTCAGATAGTATCTCTTTAAAAATTTTGAGATAGTTTAAACTTTAAACACTCTAAAAATTTAAGTTAGTTTCTCTCCCTCAAAATTTTGATATAGTTTCTCTCTAAAACTTGAAATTTGATATAGTTCTTCTCTAAAAATTTTGAGATGGTTTCTCTCTAAAACTTGAAATTTGATATAGTTTTTCTGTCTAAAAACTTTGCTATAATTTCTCTCTAAAATAAATTTGAGAGTTTTTCTATCTAAAATTTTGAGATAGTTTATCTCAAAATTTGAAATTTGAGTAGCTTCTCTCTATACAAACTTCGAAATAGTTCTTTCAAAAACAAGAAATTTGTTATAGTTTCTCTAAAACTTTTGATGTATTTTGTCCCTTTAAAACTGGAACTTTGATATAGTTTCTCCCTCTAAAAACTTTGAGAGAGTCACTCCCTCTAAAACAAATTTGAGATAGTTTCTCTCTCTAAAAAATTTGAGATAGTTTCTCTCAATAATTTTGGAATTTGAGTAGCTTCTTTCTCTAAAAGCTTTTGAGATACCTTCCCTCTAAAAAATTCAAGATAGTTTCTCTCTCTAAAATTTTGAGATAGTTTCTCTCTCTAAACTTTAAAATTTGATATAGTTTCTCTCTAAAATATTTTAGACTAGTTCTCTATCTAAAATTTAAAATTTGAGATCATTTCTCTTAAAAATATTTGAGAAAGTTTCTCTCCATTCTCCAAAATTTTGAAATTTGAGATTCTTCTTTTTATAAAAATTTTACTATTGTCTCTTCCAAAAAGTTTTAATATAGTTTCTATCTAAAAATTTTGAGATAGTTTCTCTCTAAAAATTTTGAAATAGTTTTTCTCTAAAACTTGAAATTTGATATATTTTCTCTCTCTAAAAACTTTGAGATAGTCTAAATCTGAAACTGAAAATTTAAGATCACTTCTCTCTAAAAAATTTGACATAGTTTCTCTCTCTAAATTTGAAATTTGAGATAGCTTCTCTTCCTAAAAGTTTTGACATAGTTTCCCTTCTAAATATTTTACGATAGTCTAAATTTTTGAAATGGCTTCTCTCCAAAACTTAAAATTTGAAATAATTTCTCTCTAAAAATTATGAGATAGTTTCCATTTGTAAAACATTTAAGATAGTTTCTCCCTCTAAAAGTTTTTAGATAGTTTATTTATTTAAAATTTGAAATTTGATATGGTTTCTCTCTCTAACATTTCAAGATAGTTTATCTAAACATGAAATTTGATATAGTTTCTCACTCTAAAAATTTTGATATGGTTTCTCTATCTAAAATTTTGAAATTTGAGATAGCCTCCCTCTCTAAAAACTTTTAAGAGAGGGGCTATCCAAAACTTTGAAGAAAGTTTCTCTCTAAAAATTTTGAGATAAGATTATCTAAAATTATAGTTTCTCACTCTAAACATTTTGAGATAGTTTCTCTTTGTATAACTTAAAATTGGAGATGGTTTCTCTCTCTAAAAATTTTGAGATAGTTTCTCTCTTAAAAACTTAAATTTTGAGATAGTTTATAATTCAAGTCTAATGAGAAAAATAAATCTGTATAATTCTCTCTCCCCCCCCGGGCATGAGGTAAGGGATTTTTTCATATGGAAAGAGTCATTTCATGGCAAATATTTTTCACATGGAAGAAATTTTCACATGTTTAAAAGTACAAACCAAATATTTGTAACCTCAGTTTTCATATAAAAAAAATTTCCAGGAATTATTTGCATATGAACGAAACGACCCCTGAATGTCCTTTCCAAACTCATTCAAAAATATGTTCTTTCCAAACTAGGTTTGAATCATTTCGTAGAAGGTAAACAAAAACATCACAGAAACCAGATTTGCTTTTCAGAATCCACAGACTATCAGGAACCAATTTTTTGGATAAAACAAGAGAGGGCCCCGAACCATTAGAATGATCAAGAGCAATAATATTCTTGCTCAGAATTTCAGAGACATGAGACGGTAATGCTGACAGTTTGGCAAGATGCACTTATCACAGTCTAATTCAATATAAGATCTTATCTGGTTCATTATTGACGATTGCACGAGTGGTAAGAACCCAGAAAGACTGAGAAGAACGGGATAATACACTAGGTATACTTGACAAAAAAATGGTCTGAAAGTGCTTGAAAAAACTGTAAATGTGCCCCCTTAAAATGAGATGCATGAAACACTGCATAAGAAGCTGCTATGGCCTGAGTCTGAAATGATTTTGATGTTGAAGAATTCATGATACTAGAAGAGTCTGGAATGAGGCCCCAAAGAACTTGAAAAAGTAGATCTACAATAGCAGATCGGATAGAAATAGAAAAAACCTCTTAAGACCTCATATACACTTGAAACTTCTTTGGTTTAGTTTCAAAAACCTCCGAATGTATACAATATAAAACTAGAGAAGAAAATACCAAAAGAAGTTAGGGTTTCAAGAGATAAAGTGGTACCAACACTTGTGCAGACTGCTACAGTGGTGCTACAGTAGTTACCACAGTACTGCTACGGTACTCACTGGGAACAATCATTAGTAATGCTAAAGTGCAGCTGAACTATGAACAAATTCAGATTTTTTCTCCAAACTCAAAAGATAGGTTACCGTAAGAGTATTAAATTGATCCTTATATGCTGGACTAATTCTTGCTACATGTTAAAACAGACTATGTTTTGATTCCTATAAAGAATATGACAAACTACTCCCAAACTAAATAATAATTTATGTAGACTGAACTACAAGACTAGTATCAGTCTGAATGTTAACCATACAAAATAAATTTAAACCCACAATTTTCAAGATAAGATTGATTGTTTTCTAGCTCTAGTAAATTTCAAGCTTTTTCATAGACTCACCCCTTTGAAACTGTTACATAAAAAATTTCAATAAACACAGATAGATCTAGGGCACTGTTATAGTAACAAACTAGATTGCAGTACGTTGCATGAATAGTAACAAACTAGATTGCACCCACAAGGCACCTACTTGCAGGTGTCAAACATCTCCCTAAATCATGAAAGAATATTAGCTACCTGCGAAATTTGACCAGCCAATTAGAGAAAAAGGTACTTATTGTAGTAGGCCACAGAAATTAGACAGAGATCATTGTTTTTTGTGGGAACCAGCAAACTACAAGAGTTCAGAAATATTTTAATAGACTCACTAAAAATGATCAAGAATAAAATAATGACTGATAGAGAAACAGAAAGGCTGCTCGTAATGGTATTTGGAACTAATACTACCATTGGTGGCGACTGATGAAAGAAACTAATGACTAGACAATTGAAAATAAACTAGTTCGGTGAATACATGACCTGAAAGAACAAATCGAAGTTTAGTAGTCAGGGAACTGAGGACCCAGCAGATCCAAGGCTTGAATAGCACACTAACCTGCCCAAGACTTAAAAAATACAAAAAACAACTAAGTCATCAATAATCTAATCCTTAAGCCCCATAATATAGAGATCATGGAAGCAGTCACAAGCAGCCTTCAGTCTTAAATTTGCAAGATAATTATCAGAGAACACTAAAACGCCACACTACAAGGTTTTGTGGTATGTGGGCAACCATGAGATTGACACAATGAGGTTGAATCTCCATTCCTTGCCCTGCATCTCACCTCATGGCTCTTCAAGGCACCGATAACAAAAGGAGAATAGCTCGAAATAAACAGATAATTGAATTCTTTTACATGGTACCATACTCAATTTCTAAATACACCTCAGGTCTATACTAATAAGAATTAATCCTAATGCTTGGAACTTGAAACATCATTTTTTGACAGCCCCACTCAGTAACGAACAGCAAAAGGACATGAAGCCCACAATTAAATGGAGATCTTCAGATTAACCCACATTATTGCTGATATCTTTATTAAGATTAACTCTCATCACTGCTCTTGCTATGGAATATGGGAGGCTCATATTTTTGTGTTATTTGGATTAAAAACACACGTAACAATAAAATTAAACTATTTCTAAGGAGCAAATAGAAATGGAAGGTGTTTCACTCAAAAGTACACAAAAGTAATCAGCACAGGATCATGAAAACTAAAACTAATTAAGGTATAGACATGAAAAGCAGAAGGCTGGACAAGAATAAGTTGGAAATTTTGGTCAAAACTTCATCACGAATCCACTAAGGAGAAATTTGCAATTTCCATAAGTCACCTCTGGGTGCATAGTAATTTCAGTTAAAAAAAAAAGAAAAGAGAGGTTTTCAAATATTTAAAGTTAGCATCACTAGTAAAAGATTTTAGGCAAAAAAGCACTGCACTCTTACACAGCAGGGGCAACCCGATTCCTGATTTTTTGGGGTTCAAATAGATTAATAGGTTAATAGAAGTAAGTTGGGCACCAAACAAGCTCTTAGAAAATCCAATCGTCAGCCAAACACACATCAAGTAAGGAAAAATAAAGAAAAAAATAGAAGAAGTACACATGGTACATAATAGAAAATCATTCAGGTCCTGAGAAATATGTACCTGGCAGTCCATCCGGTCAGTGATTCCACCATGACCAGGAATACTATCACCAAAGTCCTATATCAGAAAATATGACATTGAGTTTTTAAACTTTAAGTTCACAATGCAGGTCTAATGAATTGTACATGTACATCTAAGAATCTCGTAAAATTAACCTTAATTTTGAAAGCCCGCTTAAAACCGCTTGCAAAAAAACCTCCGAAAGGTGCTATACTTGATGCAAAGAGGCCAAGTGCTAGAGCATGCTTCTGAACGGGTAATACTGACACTTCATTCCAAGGAAACTGCAAGAAAAAAGAGGACAATCTATAAATGTGTATCCCATGAAAATTGAATAATCTAATACCTATATCTTGTAGAAATGTTAATAGAAAATATTTGAACATATGCCTCATCAAGAACAAGAAATGTACATCCCTAGTGCACAAACCTCAAATGCAAGATAAATATTCTGTGAGCTGCCCAACCTATGGAAAAGTTGTGCACCAGAGAACCTGCAATGCCCAATCTGGACAGACCACATTCACCGACAGGGGAGGGGCATTTTTGTTATGTTTCCTTCTTTTTTTCTTTTTTTTTTTGTATGCATAGGTTCAACACACCGAAAAACACCGAGTAGCGCCTAGGCGGCCGGGGGGGTCTAGACCGCCAGCGCCTAGGTGGGTGCCTAGGCGGTGCCCAGAACCTGGGCGGCCCAGGTTCAAAAGGGGGCAAATGGTGTCCAGTAACCTGTTTTAGGTACATAATTTGTACAAAATATGCATATTCATGCATTTTTTATAATCAAAACAAAACAAAAACACCAAAAATACCCCACCCGATGGGAATTTTTTCACCTAGTCGGGCTCAGTCCCCTGGGCGTCTGCTCAAGTACCCTAGCCGCCCGCCTAGGCAAGTACTAGACGGGTGCCTAGGGTCCCAATGCAGACGCCCAGGGACAGCCCGCCTAATGGCTTGAGCGCACCGCCTAGGCGGCCACCTAGGTGCTGGGCGCACCGCTTTTCGAATCAATGACACACCTAGACTATATGGTATATAGCAGTATTATATACAACATTGTTGGGCAATACCATACTACTATACTATGCTACTAAACTATACAGCATTGCTATACAATATTATATCTGCTATACTAGATGCTAGGGAATCTAGACTCCATGTTAACTCATGACTCCCATCAATAGGAAGGATCGAGATTCCAAAATTTAGGAATCGCAAGGGAAGGAGATCCTCTTCCCTGGAGTACAAGATCAGCATGCCAGAGCACAATTTACCACTTGGTACGTGGATGCCAATAAGAGGATTAGGCGACAGCGATATTGTGAAGAGACAACCAAATCCAACAATGCTTTACTACTACCCCATCTCATGATGATGAGCAAGAGATAATCAATCATACCTTAATTAGCTGAATTTGTAGATATTTCAAAAGTTTCATAGACAGTTTCAAAGTTCACACGTGTCTACTCAAAAACTAAAAAGAAGATCAAATCTTTAAAATGATGCAATCAATAGTTAGTACGGATAAAGAAGATTTCAGAAGAATTTGCTCTGTTATGTATATCGATGTGGGTCCAACACAAGTATGGCAACCAAATAAAACAACCCAAGTATAAAATAGTACGAAGGCATTCAGTGAGGAAATTAGGCCACGCCAATGATGGCCAAGAACTTTCATGATCACGTATTCATCATGATTTTTTTGCTTGGAGTTCAGACTGCTGGAGAACTAACAGGAAAAACTCCTCAGGGAAAGTAGAATACAAGTCAATAGAAGTGGATGCCGAAATTAAAGAAATGGTGATAGGCAACCAGGTGACCAGGTAGAATCCTACCCTCATCTTGATGAGGGGTGAGATCCAATAGCCACAAAGTCTTACTATAAGAATGTAGGAAAGTCACACTAGATCATTCCCCTGTAAATACATAGATAAATATGTATGCACATACATATATAGACACAAAGGCATTCACATAACTGACCCACACAAGCTGACATATATACTGATATAGGTTTAAATGAACTGCTGCACATATGCACCAGTATCTGTACACTACGGTTACGTCCAATGTGCTGTTTAACATATTGATACTTATATACATCATTTTAATTTTTATTAGTACATAATGCACTGTATGAAAAGCATAGGAGCAGATAAAAACAGGGCAGACAAACTATCAAGACAATGGGACATGGCTAAGGAGTATCCAACTGCATCAAGAACTTGCTGGGGCATATCATGTAAAGATGTTCTTTATACCATATCAATACCTATGCAGACAACTGTAGTTGTAAGTATGCTACCCTAAAACATCAATATCAAAACTCAAAATTCTCAGAAATTGTGCCATCCCCACTACCAGTCCCACTCTGTTCTTCTAAGGTGAAATTTTTTTGGGTCGAAGCAATAAAGCAAAATACCATGGATCTCTTCACCAGAGCCATTTAGAAACAAGCACAAATATCTACCATATGTGAAAAGGAATAATTAGAGATTCTCTTGTATATCTACCTAATTTCAACTCTATGTAAATTAGAAAAAATAGGCCGGTTGTAGAAAAGAAACATGTCCAAAACTCTACAATAAAAGATGAACAACAAAAAGCGAATGTGGCAGATGCAAATACAAGCACAAGTTAAATAGTCTAGCTGGTCTGAAGCAAGCCCGTTGCATTTCAACTAATATTTTTGCAGAATGCCTTCCAGATGTCTACAGACAAGAGTGTCCTTTATAGTTGAATTAACAGCAGTCGTTAAGCACAAACAACTAAAAATACTCACCCAATCAGGTAACCATCCTTCTAAAGAGTAGTATTTTGGCTTGAACATAGGGCCTGGATCACAATAAAGCCATCCAGTAGATAAATCCTGCAAAAATTTCATCAAATAGTGTCATGATCACATAAGATGCTCTCTAGATGGGACAATTATAATTTACTCGGAATATATCGGTCCAAAATGCAGTTCAGCAGTACCTTTCTTGGACACGTCAGCCATTGGAAACGCCCCATTACATTTGCTAGCTGCACAGATAAAATGTACAAAGACAATTTAATTTATAAATTTAATATCTCATGTCTGCATCAACCGATAATGGCTCATAGGCTCTAGCCCTTTGACCGCCGCTTCACTATTTACAATCAATATGGTCAATATGTGTCACAATTATTAAGAATTCTATGCATGTCTAAATACGTATTTGGTGTTCCATGAATTATCTAAGGCAAAAGATTGTTCTTTCATCTCTTGAGGTGCATATTATCTGTCGGAGAATGCAAGGATGAAATTGTTTTGTTCTTCCACTTCATACATGCATGTGAAGGTCATGATGCATACAATATTTTATAAGAATGATCACATGTTGCACTGTGGGCTCAAACATGCATCTTTCACGCTGAATATTATCTCATGATGCGTACGACTGGGAAATCAGGCATTTATTTCAAAGATATTAAGACCAAATCAGACCAGTTGGAATGGAAATTGGTGGCCCCACAAGTCGGACCAGGAATCCCAATCCACTGGGTCCATTGAATTGGAAACGGAAGACTGTCCGGTTCGCTACCTGGACAGGCCAGTTCAACCAAGCCAAACTCAAGCCGGTCAGACCCGACATGAACAGTATAAACAGAAAAAACAAAATTGCTTTCAGTTTTCAGGCCATTTTTGCCTACTTTGACTGGCTTCTTTTTTTTAGCATTTCACCTATTCTTCGGCGCAATTTGGCCTAAACCAACATTTTAGTTAGTTATGGGGCTTAAAAAACGATTTTACAGATTTCAAAGAAAGAGAAAGACAGCCGATTTTGCTCACCCATCTGTCTACCGAAATCCCTAAAATCTCAATATCATTTTCTGGTGACCATTGGGTCATTTTCTGGTGACTTCCAGGGCTCCATCAACCTTACATATAGGTATATTGTATTTCTATTTTGCTTGCTTTGATTGATTCAGATTTCAAAAAGGTTGTAAAACAAAAATGTTTTCTAGGGGTTTTTGGGAAAAAAAAAATTTTGAAAACATAGTAAGGCAATATTTTTAGGGACGTGATAGTAGGTTTGTTGTAGCCATTATATTGGCTTTTTGGGTTAAATTTTGAGGGTTTTGGATGTATTTTATGCATTTATGATATAGATAATCGGTGTTATCAGTTTCTTGCTCATTCCCATTTTCTCTTTTTGGTTCATCAATACTTCAATGGAACTATTGAAATAGTTCCTATGGTTTGATTATGCATTTATGATATGGATAATCGGTGTTATCAGTTTCTTGTTCATTCCCATTTTCTCTTTTTGGTTCTTCAATACTTCAATGGAACGCTTGAAATAGTTCCTATGGTTTGTTTTTGAGTTTTTTTTTTTTTGATATGAATAATTGGCATTTTCTTCCAAAAAAAAAAAAGGACATGGATAACTAGTGTTTTCTGTGTTTGTTCTTTTTATTTTTTGGGTGATCCTATTATTTCTATGAAAAAATGGATGTTATAATGGGTTTATCTTAGTGTTAAGGTTTTTGGTTAAATACTTGACGGGTTTTTTGCTTTTGGAATGAACAAGGGTTTTTGCATAGGTCTTTTGACAAAAATAAGGGTTTTAAATTTTAATACTTTTATTATCCGTTATCCTATAAATCTAGAATAGACATTTCAATTTATATATGTATTACATACTAAAAGTTTGCAATGGATTTGTGTGTCATTTTTTATGTAGGATTGTTGCACTTTGCACATGGTTGAAATATCTTGGTTAGAGAATTGTTAATTAGTGGGAGTGGCAGTCTGTAAATTTCGCGGTTGGTAGTTTGGGTTGGTGTAATTGGTGGTGGTTTTGATGTTGTAGACCAACCAATGAGGAGAGGGGAGAATGAACCAACTAAGAGTGCCACTAGCAGGCTTAGGAGGCAGGGTTATAGGATAATTTCCCACAAAGCACAAGATGTGCCTAGCCAACAATTAAAACCAAGTTGCCAGGGGTGAATGCAGTAAAAAGGGCGGTGGCAGGGTGGATGTATTGATGCTGCTATAGCTTTTCATGGAATTAATTCCTTCTACTTTCAGCCTATATTGAATGAGGTGACATTCATAAGCCTGGAGTTAGAGGCCCTAGCTTCCATGAAGCTAAAAGTTGGCTTTCGAAGAAGAATGTGGAAGATGCAAAGGGCTGCATAGAGACATACAAAGACATCTAGGGTAGCCATATAAGATAGATCATGGCTGATAGGCAGACTGGAGGGAGAGATTGACAACTAATCAACTTTTTGTTGCAATGGTACAAGGTCATCACATTCCTGTAGTCAGTAGACGACTTAGATTATTGCAAAAACAGGAACAACATTGTTATATTTATTCAAGAAGGTTGTTGATGATGTGGGGCCACACAAAATGATACAATTTATAACCAATAGTCCAGCCACATACTCCCCCAGGTGGCTGTTGCTAACTACTCTCAGGTCATTAAGATTTATCCGCTACGTTCACAATTCCATTTTTTTCATTTGTTCAATAGATATTGATTCCATAGCATCTATATCTTAAAGTTTAACATAATCTAATAATTTCCCCATTAATTAATTTCAACTGAATGGTAGATGCTCCCAACCATCAATAGCTCGATATTTGTATCCTTAGCTAAACTTGTGGTGCAAGTGGTTACGAGGGAAATTGGAGTATGTTTGGCACATTCATACAGATAGGCAAACAAGGTGGAGAGTAAGAGGCTAAATGATTTAGTCTTCATGAAGTGAGGATTAGCAAGGAAATGGGTTGTCTAAGAAAGCATAGGGAGAGTTTGGACACAAAATGGTATAAACACTCGTGATGATATCCTCCCAGGTAATTTAATTTATCTGGTTCTAGGTTCAAAGTTCCAGTTTTTTCATTTGTGTAATTTAGATTGATTTAAACCAATCTCTCTTTGCTTCTACACATTTACGACCAAATGGAAGGAAAATTTGGTAGTGATGCTTTTAATGTCAAAAGTGACATTCGTATCCTTACCAAATTTGCAATGCATGTGTTTGCTAGAGAAATTGGAATTTCAACACATTGTTTATACGGATAGGCAAAACAAGGTGGAGCATATGACGCTAATTGACTCTGTCTTCATGCACTACAATATAAAAACAACACAAGGAGGTAACCTTCAGTGCTTCAATTTGCATTATTTAACAGTTTTTATATTCAAGATTCCTAGGCTCCTATGCAAGTATGTTTTTACTATGGCTTGGGAGAAATATAAGATCTTGGGAAATTTAATAAGTTATCCATAAGAGATGAACAATTTAGCTCCTTATTTATATCATTTGATTTAATTTCAAAATACCCAAAAAAATACATGATCTTGAGTAAGAATAGTTGCAAATGAGTAGAATGTTAAATAATTTATATCTTACGGGTACTTTGATAAATTTCCCTAAAATCCTTCTCCTAGGGGGTGAAGGGAGGATAGAGTGGGTTTCACCAAAGAAGAAATCAATAATGATGATGGAGGAGGTCGTAATGAAGTAGGAGACAAAGAAGGAAATAAAGAAGAAGACTACACATGACTTGCATTTACATATTTTGCATTATGTATTACTATTACTTAATCCTTTTGAAGGGGATGTTTTGCAACTTTGGATGCCCTTATGGTTTGTCTTTGTGATAGAGTGCGAGGCAATTATCTAGTGGGGCTCTGTATTGATAATGGGATTCACTTTACTAATTTACTTGTTTAGTACCCTTCAAAATTTCAAATGCAATGTTTAATTGTTTTTCCCTTAATGAGTTACTGTCCTAATAGACTGCTTCATGTGATATGCACTATTAGTTTGTAATTTTGGTTTCTAATAATCTTCTTTTAGGATTTTATAATTTCCTTAGTTCCAAAAAAGTGATTCTTTCAGACTTCTTCTAAAACTTTATAGGTTTTTCCTATTTTTCTCAATTTATCTAAATTTTTCTCGGTTTCAATTATTTTTAAAATTTGACCAGTCTAATCTGTGAGCCTATCCGATTCAACTAGTGAAACCGAACCAATGCCTCCATTGAATTGACAGCTGGTCCAATCTTGATATGGTTTGGATACACAGAATCAACAAAGCCCACATATATAAATTAAGAATTGAGCTTCCAATTTTTCAAAGATCTTAAGAACAAGTCATAATGCAGCTGCCAAAATACCCAAACATGCCCTTCAAAATAATGAATAACAGCCCATAAAACAACAAGGAAGCTTACCACAAATGCAGAGATAATCGTTGTCACAGAAGCTCCAATGAAACCCTCCCAGGTTTTTTTAGGAGATAACTTTATCAACGGTGTGCGACCAAAAAAAAACCCAAAAAAATAGGCAGCAATATCGTTGATCACAATAAGTGATGCTGGCAAGAGGAACCTACAAGGACATATACCATCATAAGAGATTAAAAGACAAAAAACTCGATAAGAGGCCCCCCCATAACAAATCTAGTTAAACTATTTAACATTGTCATTGACCATTACAGACAAAAGAAATAATAGACGAGAAAATCAATACTATGAAAGAAGTCCCAAGCCACAGAAGCAGTATGGAAAAAGTAATCATACCCACACAACAGTCAACTTCAGCTTTTAGCGAAACAGTAGCATCTTTAAGAAAGATACCACTCAAAACTCTATTAAAAGATAAATTTAGTAGATCCAAGTACTCTACCCCACCAAGGAACACCCTCCCATGGTTGGACGTTCAATCATTTGTCAAAAGAAAAGGCCCTTCCCACTTTGCCCACAGCCGCGCAGGGCCAGTGCCAACTTATCTTACCATTATATTCTTCACGATTCCTAGAAAGATGCTGATAGACAATGATGAGAATCACTTTGCCATGCCTGATGCTCAACTATTCTAGTCATATACCCTGCCCTGGTTGTCAAATCTGAGACCAGGTATGCTAAATTTACAATTTAAATTGAGTCACTTTTTTCTATTGGTAAGTAGATTAAATCATTTAAAAATGTCTCCTCAATGGCAAGAATCATACCCTAATAATTGATAGCCAAATCATACGGTACAAATCAGGCATATATAAAGTCCCATATTGTTTATTTTCCTTGGTCCGCATTATCATCATACCGTACAATAAGTGATATTGTACAAAATCATGTATAAGGACATGAGTCTATTTAGTCAGTTTGATTTGGCTCTCGCAAAATTCTAGACCTTTATGGACTTCTAGGGAATGTTTGATGATTAAAACTCCCAGCTCAAGAAGCTAAAAGTTCCAGTTTACTGTAGCATTTCCTAGTTTGATGATTAAACTTCCAGCTCGAGAAGCTAAAACTCTCTCTCTAAACCCTCTCTAACATGCCCTTTCTCTCTCTAAATATGTCCTTTCTCTTCTAACTCCTCTCTCTCTAATCTTGTCCTTTCTCTCCAGCTCTCTCTAATCATTTCCTTTCTCTCTATAGCCCTGCCCTTTCTCTTCCTCTCTAAATCCTCTCTCTCTAACCATGCCTTTTTCCTCTTTAAATCCCTTCTCTAACTTTGTCCTTTTTGTCTCCCTCTAAGTCCTCTCTCTCTAGAAATGTTTTAAAAAACGGTCCGCCTGGCGCCTAGGCGGCTTGGACCAAAAATCCGCCCGCCTAGACCTAGGCAGCTCTACATGGGCGGATGTACTTGAGCGGGCGCCCAAGCAGGCTAAGCGGGTGCCTGGGCGGCTAGGCAATTTTCGTTTTTTTTTAAATTACGGGGCGCCCGAGGTTCTGGGCATTCTGGGCGCCCGCCTAGGCGCTAGGTGATGGGCGCCAGGCAGGCCGCCTAGGGGCTGCCTATCGCTTTTTGAAACCTTGCTCTCTAGTCGTTCCCTTTCTCTCTCTAACTCTATTCTCTTTCTAAATGTGCTCATGCTCTGTAATTGTGCCCTCTTCTCTCTCTAGGTCCTCTCTATCTCTAACTATCCCATTTGTCTAACTCCTCTCTCTAAGTGCCATTTCTCTCTCTAATCGTCTCTCTTCTCTCTCTCTCTAACTGTGCCCTTTCTCTCTGAAGCTTTGTTTGATCAATGAAGTCTATTCTCTATATCTGATAACTTCAAGACAGATTATCAAACAATTATTCAAGAACTTGTAGACATCAACAGTTCCAGCTTCCAGGGAACTAGAACTTCCAGGTTCCAGTGCCTCCCCAGCTTCAATTACCAAGTGTGCCCCTAGTGATCCACTTTGCCCAGCTCTAGCTTTCTGTCCATTCACCACTTGTTCACCATCACATATCAACCCAAACAATTTTAGTACAGAAAGGTTCGCTCTGCCCATGTGGTTCGCCATCAAAACCCCATATTCGAATTGCACCTCATATTTGCGAGTTCCAAGGGATATAGTGATTTCTCATCCCAATGCCCAAAAGATAGAAAATCACACTCTTTCACATGTGTCACACTGGTTTCAGCATATCTAAAGATTGCAACGTTCGCCCTCACCTAGTGGATCAGTCAAGTGCCATGGGAATCCAGGTTGTAGACATTAACATCCAATTGTCTGTCACCATTCAAAACCCAATTCGTTATTTCTCCCACATACAAAGTATGGATATGTCTTTTAGAAGATTGAAGTCAAGAAAATAATTAGAGAATATTCGGAAAATAGAATAAAAAGGTTTAATTTAAGGGTGATGTAACAAGAGTTTATTTGGCTTCTTTTTTTTAGCAATTTTCACATATGACCAGTTATGCATTGTGATCCATTGAAGGAAACTAAAAGGTTTAAGTAACAGTCATGTAACAAGGAGTCTTTGGCATCTTAGCAATTTTCAGATATGACCATTTATTCATGTCAGCCCTTTTTAGTTTTGACCATTTCTACCTGTTAGTCTTTTCCCATTAAAAAGAGTAATAAAGATTCTGCATGACGAATGGGAAAACCAAGAGACATTTAACAAAAGGTCCTAGCCAGTACCATGTTGATCAAATTCGGAACACATAGTTGTCCTGTGTATCATATTCAGCACATGGTTCGTGGATAACAAAATGATTTTAACCATTCAACATCTTTAGCACAAGGGAATAACGTTTCATAATACGTGTGTTTTGTGCCGAAGAAAACGAGACAATATAATGTATTGGTCCATTGTAAATATAAATGGTATGGCTGCTGATGTTGGTAATACTGTATGAGTTATGTCTTTTTTCTGGTAAGTATGTGCACTATATGTTATTCCTTCTATCTTGCCATATAGAATGAACAGGAAAGAAAGAGAAGTGTGAGTGTGTGTGAGAGAGAGAGAGAGATTCTCAACTATATCGATGGATATATGAGTGAGGGGCCAAGACCATGAAGAAACAATACACTAGCACTCAAAGCAAGTCATTACTGTTCCTGCACCAAAATGACCAAGAGAATGGCCATCCACAACAATTGTTGAAGGCACAAATAAACTAGATGTACCCTAAAGCTTCATTGCTTGAAAAAATCATTCCCCGCTACCCTCTCTGTCATTAAAAACTCGTTTTCCACATCACTCACCCATCAATGACAAAAGATGATTCAACCTCTCTAGCAGGACCTTAAATCGAGCTAAACCATCTCCACATACCTGAACCTTTCCCTTTGCATGATGGCTCACTTTGGGGTGGGTTCCAGAAAGATTAGTGGGTTGGAAAAGCAGTACCTTGTAGCTGGAAAGCGATCTGATCACTCTCATAAATAAATATTGCAGTCAGTAGCTAACCTATAGGCCACATTTTGCCACTATGTTTTTGTTTTTTTTTTTTTTTTTTTTTTTTTTAATTATGGGTGGGGTCGAAGGTTGCGGTCTCTGGGGTGGGTTCGGAGTTACTCTGCTGCAGGCAATGCAAAACAGAACTAAACAGATTTACTTTTGAAAGTCTATTTCATGCAACTCTGTTCACAAACATACTAAGGTGTTCATGCTATCTGTCACATGAATATGATAAATAAAGATATATAGGTCAAATAGATTCCGCAGTTTACATTGATATACTTTGTAGCATGGGCCAATGGTGGCCAAGTATGCTTTTGTGGGCAGTGATATTTGAGGGGACAAATCAAAATATCAATGCCCCTGGGGCATAGAAGGTAATTCACAATAGGATAAGGCAGCAGTAGCTTATAGGTGCTGGTTGATAGAAGAATTCAGAGTCCCTTCAGGACCATTTTGTGAGGACTACGTAAGGTGATGGAATGCTGCTTCTAGTTCTGGAGAGTACTAACTAGATGCCTCCACTAAAACCAAGAAGAGGTTAGAAGAATTAGTGGGCCTCTGTGGGATACTCAACAATTACTATATACCATTTGACCACAAAATTCCAAGTTGGCCAAACTGCATGCTGCATTTCTAAGGATTTGGGAGGTGAACAGGGAGCATAAAGGGCCCAATGATTATATAGTGCAAAACGTCTTAGGAAGGAATACATGCATTGAAAATTATAACACACATCCACGAGAAAATTGAATTACTTTCTTTGGTGGATATTATCCCGTGGAGGTGAACTTAGGTTACGTCCATGATACCTTGCTCTTATGAGAGAGGTCAAGGATTTGAGCATCATGAAAAACATGCCGGCTTACCATGCAGAAACAAAAAACCAAAATAAAAAAATGGAATAGTTCAAAGACAAGTTGGTGGAAGTGTACAAGGTGAAGTCATGTTTCTACTTTGTAGGGCTTCACTCCAGAATAAATATTTCAATCTCGTTGAGAAACATATACATGCAGACATAAATGCGTATATAAGTCACACATACACAAATGCATAAATACACACTTCTCATTTTCATAATGCATACAGCAATAATTGTTGATAATCACATAAAGCAATAATTGTGGATAATCACCAACACAAACTTATAGATAAAAAACTTGAATAATGCAATTGCCATGTACTGCCAAAAGTCCATCTTTCTTAAACTTGAATTGGGAATAATTATTGTGGATAATCACCAACAGAATATGGGATCATTTATAATCATACACCACCAAAAGTCCATCTTTCTTGAACTTGAATAATGCAATTGCCATATGCAGCCTGAGGGCTGTGGTATAGTTATGTAAAGCACCCGACCAGTGGGCTACCTCATCCCACCCCTCATGGGATATTTTTGTTAACATATCTATAAATTAATATGTTGTCACCAATTCCTGAAAAAGGTGCCACATGCTACCTAGATAAAATGTAGACACCCAAGTGGGCAATTTCAAATATGCTATTGATAGGACGAGTGATATGAATGACAATCTTGAACACCACAGAGACCCAACGACAATTGATATTTTTGTCTTCGAAAGAAAGAGGAAGAAGATTAGACAGGGGAGAAGTCTAAGTTGCAAGTCCTTCAGAAAAATGAATTCTACGATGCAGGCATTTCCCTTGACGCATTCATAACCAAGTTCACAAATTCTAAATCATCTGAAAGATCACTACTAGTATCAAAGGAAGCAGCAATGAGAATCTTGTTACCAGAAGATTCCTTCAAAGATATTTCCCACTGTGAAAGAAGATTGGGCAAACACCACAAAAAGAATCATGTGTGTCCAAGCAAACCGGCCAAATTGATATTTGTACATTCTCTTCTTCAGGGTAAGAATGAAACAGACAATACCTGTGCTCAAAACATAGAAAAAAGTCATTTTGGCATTCCCATGCAATTATACATTCAATGAAAAGAACATCAGAGAACATCAGTTTTTGGTCTTTTCTGTCCTTGGCTAATTATCAGTTCTTGTCCAGTAAATGAAGATAACATAGAATATCTTTTTTTATGCATCTTACGGTGGCAAAGTGTCAAGAAACTATGGGCAAGCTACGCTAACTGAAGATACAACGTGATACAAATTTTGAGAACAAATATTGGAATAGACAAGCTCCACATATTCCAGAGTAGAGAGGAGTTGCCTTTTAGTGATGGTAAAAAGCATGGCAAGAAGCAGGATAGAAGCAACAGAAGGATTTACCTGCTATATATAAGAAATAGCATATAAACATCTGATATTTTATAAGGCCGCTGACAAGTTGATATAGGAATTTATCTGAAGTTACAGTGTTGACAAGCTGCCGACTGAGGAAGCGACCATATACATACAACATCACTGTGAAGAAAAAATGCCTGAAAAAATTGAACAAGGAAATTAAATACAAAAGAGGACACAAGAGAAAATATCTATTAAAAAATTATGCAAAGTCCTCCAAAATATTATTATCTCTTCTTTTAAGCAGAAGCAGGTACCACATCTAATCCCTACAAGTGTCTAAAAAATTGATCTTAAACACTAATCCCCACATTCAATCAGCATTAACAGCATACACGCATTGATCATCAATAAATGAGACATGCATAAATTGTAGAATAAAACTAATGCGAATAGTATTGCAAAAAAGACCATCCATTCAGGTAAGACAACACTAATGCTCAACGGAAAGGGCATGATTGACTTGTTTACTCACCAATTCAAAAGCCTGAAGCCTGGAAGATGCCTATCTTCATGGGCTCGCCTCCCTAAGTTGAAAAGTTCCATTGCCATGAATATCTGGATGACAACGATCATTGCCCATATGTAAAGGTGGCCCATGTATATTATGAATGCAAACCCTCCAATCATCCAAACGGATGACCGTATACGTGTCCACATCGATTTATACTTGCTCTTATCATCGATGAGAAGATGAGCTCCTCCTCCATTGGCTTTATTCACTTCTTGAGGGACCTAAAATAATTTTCAGCATTGCACTCCATCAAGAAACCATGCATAAACTTTTAATGATGCCAAATTATTTTAAAGCGATTCGCACTCCAGTTCTTCTGAAGTGAAATAGAATAGCTAACCTATTACAAAATTCAAAGGAGAAAAGGCAAAGAAAAAAACATTAATTCAAGAAAGATGAAGGAGAAAATCGGGAAACGCTAGATATAGCAAATATTAATCTAACTAGTGACAAATAAGGAGAAAAGATAAGGAAAAGCTCTCCAAGTAAACAATACAAAAAATAAATACAACTCAAAGAAAGAAAGGAAAAAAAAATTATTAAAGAAGAACACCAAATACTACAATGCACAGTAGAATTTAATTAAACGGAAGAAAAGGAACAAAATGTACATAGCACCACAAGATAAATATTCAGTCAAATGGAGTAAAGAATCTAAAGGAAGGACAAGCAGCCAGAATACAAGAGAAGTGAATAGTGAAGGACTTATGGTACAGTAACTGCACTGGCCACGAAAGAGAGAGTTCTGGATTCTTCGGAACACCATAGACTACTAAAAAAAGGGATGGAACAACTACCAAATCCAATTCACAAGATAATATGCCTGAAAAGAGAGAAATTATACCAAAAGCGATGCATAAAAAGAGAAACAATCAAACATTCCAGGAAATAATTGGCAGAAAACCAGAAATTGGAAACAAACTAACCTCACTGGAGCGTCTTCGTTGCCGTACTCGACCACCACCAGCAGACGAAGAAGAGGGTACCCCAGCAGAGGCGTCCCTATGCGACATCTCTCTCTACCCTGACCTCAAGCAAAACACTGCAGCTCCGCCAAAAGCCCCCAATCTAACCATAACGCAACTGCAAGCGCATATCTCTCTAGCTGACGAATAAGGAAATCTATTGTTCGGGTTATATTCCGGTGAAGGAACGCATCTTAAGAATGCCAGCAGAGAGCAAGAGAAGATAGAGAATCCACAAGGCAATGTCGGGCAGCAAAAGATAGAGCGCGTGCAGAGAGAGAAGGGGGCATAGAGAATCTACAAGGCAATGTCCGCCAGCAAAAGATATGAATGCAGAGAGAGAGAGAGAGAGTGAGTGAGTGAGAGAAGAATCAGTTTTAGTCGGGGGGGAAATTTTGGTAGGGCCCTAAGAGAGAGAATGACAGAGGGACGCATCATCGATAATAGTCATCCTAGAGAGAGAAAGTAGAGAGAGTTGATAACGAGACGGGAAAATGTCGTGCGTGCTACGTAGTTTGAACCCGACCACGGGTTCGTTATTCACAAACAAAATACGCAAAATAAAACATAGCCACCAGTAATTTTTTACCAATAAAATACGAAAATAGTTTTTTTGACAAATAAATTACTAGAAATAAAATATAAAACCTAAAAATACAATTGAGTTAACCTTTTTAAATTTGCTCTCCCAAACGGCACCATCTGCCTCCCTCGTTCTTTAGACATCTCTTTTATGTACGAGTACTATGCTTCTTTCACTCTTTAGAAGAACCACCGTTCATATATCAATATCAATTTCAATCTCACACCAAAATATCTCAATCCTCATCAAATATAGGATTTTTTTATGTTGGTGATTTTGGATAACTCCAAATCCAACAAAAAAAACATGGGTTACATTTCGGTAAACAAGATGGACACAGGTCGCATTCGTATCACTAGATCGAACCCATCATATCCTCTCTGTCTCTCTATCTAAACTCTTTATCATTTGATCGATTGCTTCAATCCTCTCTCTCTCTAAACTCACTCCAAGCGTTAGTGCAACCTCTCTCTCTCTCTCTAAACTCACTAATCCTTGAATCCGATCACACGAATAGCTCTCTTTCTCAGTATTGACGAGTAAAGAATCGATGCCCTTCTCCAATTATAGGAGAAGGTATCCCCATTATCGAGTGTTGTTGCCGTGTAAGGGGAATGGTTTCGTACCCCTCGATTCCCGTTAATTGAAGGTGAATTATGAGCTGCACTTTGTTCTTGTTGCCAATTTGCAAGAAAAACTTGAAAATGTCAATTTTAAAAGTAGCATTTTTTTTTTTATGCAATTCTTGAAGTATATAGCATCCATCTTAAAGATGGATGTAAATAGGTGGTCCATCTAAAAACAATTGAAACTAACTGTAAAAATGGTTTTTTAATAAATTTATTAGAGATAACATGTCTTTCAAAATTAAGTCCAAAAATCCATCTCAAAAATTGATTTTTAAGAGGCGACTTATTTCTATATGGACTCATAAAAACCGTGGCCTTAACTAAAAGAGAGAATCGAGAAACATTTTTTACCAAGGGTACAAGGAGGTTAGAGTCAACCGTGGCGTTGATAATGAAGTCTGATAGTTAGGATGTCATCATTTATTGGACTCAATGTTAAAACTAAAGAAAGTTTTTCCAACTTTATGATGTTGGAAATTAGTGAGTGGTTTGGGACAAGGTAATGAAAGTTATGAAATACTTTTTAACTTCAGGATAGGAAAACTTTGCTTTTATGTGATGGCATTTACCTCTTACTAATCGAATTTAAGTCCCCCAAGCAAATTTGTTCCCAAAATATAAACAAATACCTAACTAAATATTATCTTGCCTATAAAAATAGACAAGTAGTGAAAGATCTAGAGCACCTGACTTGCATCTTTTATAGCGAGAGAAAGTTCGCATAACATCTAAAATTGTGCAAATTTCAGTAGAAAACTTCTCTTCAAAATATAAAGTCATGTATTGAGAGAGAGAGAAAATCATTCACCTTCACTCAATGTAATTATTCATTACACAGATAAAGAGTTGTGAATCTTCGTTTCTTAGAGTTAACCATAAAAAACAGTTCATTGGTCGCAACTTACATCCAACTAGATTTTTGATAATCATGGTTTATTGGAGTCCTTTAGGGCTTCCAAAATTCCTTTCGGGTTACAAAAAATCAACTATTACACGTGTATAGGCTAAGGGCACCTCCTGCACTGATGTGAGCTTGCAAAATACACAGTGCACCTCAAGCATCCTTGCACCCCAAGAATGTGATTTATCTCTCTTATTCGATTTCTCTTCTCATTTAATCTCTGTTTTTCTCATATGCTTTAGTTTTAAAAAGAAAACATGAGAGGATGCAAGAATGTGGTTGAGTTTCTAGATGGAGAATGTGAGAGTGGAGTTAAACATGTTGAGTTTTAGAGAGATAATGTGAGAGAAAGGAACAACGAGATCGGTTCTTAGATAGTGAGAGAGGGGAGAGCATAAAGACATTGGGTTTTGAGAGAGAGAGACAAGGGGAGGCAACAAGCCATGGGAAAATGTGTAAGGTAAAAAATTTAAAAAAATTGGCCCTACATTTTATTTCAAAGAGGGAAAAAAATGTCCATTTGCCCCTCTACAAAGGTGGGAGCACCAAAATAAAAAATAAATTATCAAAAAGTCTAATATCTGAAAAATAATATTCATAAGGTTTTTTTTTTTTCCCTTAAAAATCCCTAAAAAATATATGCAAACTCATGTTTCACATGTCGGGGATACGAGATCAATAAAAGTATTTGATGAAAAGGCTAATTCATAAAAAAAAAATGAGTCCTAAGAAGCCCCAAATCCTAGATATTTAAAAAACTAAAAAATGAGGTTTATAAGGCATCTTCCTTATATTGTGGACATAAGTTGCACATCAAAAATTTACTTGGAGATAGAGTTCTGGTGTCAAAAATCTTATAGCGCTTGAAAATCTATTTTTTCCTTAGTTATGAAATTTAAAATTTCAAAAATAATACAGATCAAGCACATCTATAAATACATGAAATAAAAGGTCTAGATAACTTGTTAAGAGATGTACTAATTTTAAATTTTGAAATTCGTTTTCTTCCATATCCACACATCTCGAGTCGAGGTAATCAATTGGAGGGTTCTCCAACCTTAGAACACTCCCTTATATAGGATTTTCAAAGTGTATCTTACTTCAACAATATAAACTTGCAACCTCATAAAAACTTTCTCAAAACAAAAGGAAAAGTACTTGATGCATCAGGAGGACCCACTTCTACAATTGCTTCCCCTCATGCATTAGACATCAGATGAATGTTTAAAATGAGGGTCGCACTAAGATTTAAAGGGAAAATTACACAACCCCGAGTATATTATCTATGCAATTCACCCTCAGCTAACTTTTTCTCTCACCTTTTTTCCCCACAATTACCTTTCTTCGCTAAACCCCCCTCAATCCAAAAAAAAAGAAAAAAAAGACTAAACTACCCATCTCTCTCCTCGTGGCTTTTACCAACAACTCTCTCCCCATGCGCTCCGGTAGTTCATTTAAATGCTCCGGCAATGAGGACAATCGCTCTGGCAATGCAAGAACTCGCTCCGGCAGTACACCTTCTGGAGCCAAAGCGGTCCGACGGTTGGATAGTTCACTCCGGTAATGAGGACACGCGCTCCAGCAATGCAATGACTCGCTCCAACAATACACTTTTTGGAACCACAGCGATCCGGCAATTGAATAGGTCGATTCGACAATGAAGACAAACGCTCTGGCAATACACCTTTTGGAGCCACATCGCTCTGGCGGTTGAATTGGCGGTTGAATTGGTCGCTCTGGTGGTTGTGAGGAAAAAAAATGTGAAAAAAGGTTAATTGCATAGTACACTTGGGGGGGTTTTGTAATTTTCCCGATTTAAGATTAGAGTGTCTTAAAATTCTATTGAAAACAATGTAATGACTCCTGAGAAATAGTAGTTTTATATAAGAAAATGAAACCAAAATCAAGCGTTTGTAGTCCAACGGTTAGGATAATTGCCTTCCAAGCAATGGACCCGGGTTCAACGCCTGCCAAATGCAATCGTTTTTTAACAAAAACAGTTTTAAAATTCATTTTATTGGCAAGAGCCGAATTACATTCAAAATTTCGAAAATCATTTTTGTGATGAAGGATTGTTGATGGATAATTGGACCTTAATATAGGACTATTGTCATAGTAAATCATTGTATATAATTGAAGGAAAAGTATACAATGAGACCATTTTTTTTTGTTAAAGGTGGTCACTATTAATCTTGACCATTGGATGTGAATTTAGATGGCTGTATTTATTTCATTGACCAAGTAATTCAAACTTCAAAAGAAATTTTCTCAAATATTGGTACACATCCAACGTATCAAATTTCACATCAAATGGTTGTAAGTAATTATGACCTTCATGTATATAAATGGTCTCATTGTATACAATCCCATAATTGAAACACGGACTATAGACACAAAACAGATCATATTCAATTTCTAACATCAATTTTGTCATTATCAGTGGATAATTAATGACTCTCGGCAAACACATTCATTTTTTAACAAAAACAATTTTAAAATTCATTTCATTGGCAAGAGCCGAACTACATTCAAAATTTCGAAAATCATTATGAAGGATTATTGATGGATAATTGGACCTTAATTTACAGAGTCATCGTAAATCGTTGTATATAACTGAAGGAAAAGTATACAATGAGACCCTTTATTTTTGTTATAAGGTGGTCACCATTAATCTTGACCATTGGATGTAAATTTTAGATGGCTGTACTTATTTCATTAACCAAATAATTCAGACTGCAAAAGAAATTTTCTTGAATTTTGGGATATATCCAACCTATCAAATTTCACATCAGATGGTTGTAAATAATTGTGACCTTATATATATAAATGGTCTTATTATATACAATCCCATAATTGAAACACGGACTACAGACACAAAAAGGATCATATTCGATTTCTATCATCAATTTTGTCATTATCAGTGGATAATTAATGACAATAATAGAGACACAATATTGATGGCATTCAACTTTAGAAAGGAATTGAATCATGTACACCCATGGACAGTATATATGCCTCCTTCCAAGGACCTAAATTGAATGCAGGCGCATTTGAGAGCTACAAATTAATTTGTAAATTGTTATTCTTTCACATGAAAAATTGGGGCGTAGATGCATTTTTAACACACCATTTCTAATATCGTTGTTGTCATTTATAAATGGATGATTGGACGCCATTCTGAAGCATGGACTGCAGAAACAAAATCGGATTAGATATGATTTCTAACATCAAGTATGCCATTATCAATGGATGATCCAAAATTATAGAGACAACATTCAATTTCATAGAAGGGAAGTATATTATGTACATCATTTAACCTTTGAAAAAGTACAAATGCATCATTCTAACGGTCTAAATTGAATCTAAGCCCATTTAAGGGTTATAAATTAATTTGTATATTTTTTATTCTTATTTATAAATTCAACTCCTACGAAAAATTGGGCCTTGTATGTTTTACTAGGCAATTTCGAATATTGTTGTTGTCATTATAAATGGATGATAGAACAGCATTAGGGAGCATGGATGATAGACACATAGCGGGATCATATTTGACTTCTAATATCAATTTTGTCTTTTTCTTTGAATAGTTTAGTGGAGAAGACAGGCCCCTACCTATTTTTTTCAATAGATTAGAGAGTTACATTTTGAAAGTTTTATTGAGGGTGTTAGCGGTAGGAATGGATACCACGATGTGGTAATTGGATGTAGATATCAAATTTGTCTTTATCAATGGATAATTGAACCAAAATTATACGGACACATTATAAAGTGCATTCAATCCTAGAAAGGGATCAATTTTGTCTTTATCAATGGATAATTGAACCAAAATTATTAACACAATATAGATTGCATTCAATTCTAGAAAGGGAAAGTATGGTATCCACAACATGTAAACCCTTGAAAAGTACATAAACATCCTTCCAACAGCCAAAATTGAATGAATTCCTATTTGAGGCCTAGAAATTAATTTATACAGTTGTATTCTGAGGACAGGGGGATAAATGGTAGGAAATTGGCCCTATCCTAGGCCCCACAGCCTAGCACAAGGGGACCAAGCCCTCACATGACCTTGAGGGTTGTGAGCAAGTTAGGTAGATGGAGGTGGAAGACCCAAATTGGTCGCCACCTCCTCAGGGTGGGTTCCACACCCATTTACTTATATATTGACCCTCCTTTAATCATTTTAAGGTATGAATCCCATCATTTTACTATGAAACTCTAACTTTGCCCCTAATATATCTCTTTGCCCTCAAACCCTAATAAATTTAGTTCAATTAAACCCCAACCCTAGGCCTTCTAGGGTTTCTCTGCAACCTAAAAACTTCAGTCTACCTCTCCCGTATATAATGCGACCATTTACTTTTAATACAAGATGGTCACAATTAATCTTGACCATTGAATGTGAAATTGGGTGGCTGCATTTATTTTATTAACTAAACTCAAAGTTCAAAAGAAAATTTGTTGAACTTTATAAGACACCCAAGCTATTAGATTTCACATCAGATGGTTGTAATTGTGATCTCCCTATACTAAAAGTATGATCTCATTATATACAATCCCTTAAAATACACCATTCCCCTATTAAACTCCATTAGCCCTAGATTCACAGAAGGTCCACTCTTATTCCTGTAGAGAATGAGTATCACTATCCTTTCCATCTCTAGAAATCAATTAGGTTGGATCGCCTATGCCATGAAACGCCATTGAATGGTTGGCCGGAAGAAGAACTGAAAGAGGAAGAGAAAAGGACAATTCAAGATTCTGTGGTGTAGATGAACCACCATCCAATCCTAGGGCATGATGATGAGGAGGTTTAGGTGCCTGGTTGGGGTAGAGAAGACGGCTTAGGATTAGAAAAGGGGTAGAGGTGGATCAATGGGTGCTAGCATACATGGCTTCTACCCAAAACAAGACATCCTCATCAGAGGGGTTCTCCAATGTTTCAACTTTATTTATTTTTTTCTATAAAGCCTAGGCTTTACGAGGACAAAGTAAAACCTCACCTCGAATCATCGTCTGGAAAGCACTTTGAACATCAAAAATCTCCATGATGGCTCTAAAATCAATTTCTAACACTGATTACAAAAATTGAAGTTAAAAAAGTAGTACATATCTTACAGATTTGTGAACACTTATTTTTAAGGTAAAATAAATGGTCTAAATAATGTGTTACAAAATACACTATTTTTAAGGATTGAAATCCTATTTTTTTTTTCACAACTATAATGGCTAAAGTCATGATGATCAATTTAAAAGCTTTTCAACACTACAACTGCAAATTTTGATGAGTTTTAAGATAAAGCTTTACTAATTTTGATAGGACTGAAGCCCTGTCACACCATTTTCTTTTATCTTAAAATTTACAACAATTAAAACATTCAATAGTTATGTTCCTTTATCCAAGGAGCTTCTTGTTTGTCAAAGTACATGTAGGGCCACCAACAGTCCTATGCTACACTAGCTTTCAAGATAAGGCTAGTGGGCGTAGGCCCAAAGTTGGTCCAAATTGTTTTTGGGCCAAGCTTGGGCCAGCTGGACTCAGCTACAAAAACCTTAAAACTAAATATTTTACATATCAAATAATTTTTATTTATCACATTTTACCTGATTTTTTTAGGGCAAGGCCAAGTTCAGACCACAATGCCATGGCTATTGCGGGCCTCAGCCTAGGCCCAAAATTAAATTTTTGCGTTAGAACTAAGCATACTCCCTTTCTTGCCGGGGTCGAGCAAGGGCTGGCCCAACCCATTGGCCTTAAGTAGAAGAAGCGCCAAGAGGGCTCAAATCATTCCCAATCCAAACACGCATTTAACATGCCTGTTGAAGAAAGTGCAATTAACATGGCACAGGCATTTGCAAATTGGTCAGATGCGTGAGAGAGATTTTCTACAACATTTACACTCAATTCGGACATGCCAATTATTCACAAGTCCCATTATTAAATCGACTTATTTATGAACAGAAAATAGAGCATAAAGCTTTAACCCCACCTGATCACACTTTTGACATTTCCTAGGTTTTCGAACTCCAAAAACTTAGTTGCAGTTTGCAACCAATGTAGGAAGCATTCAAATGCTTTTGATGGCTTTCAACAAGCACAAATGCATCTTGAGCATACTTGAGCGTATTCGAGAGAATTAAATAATGGACATTTTCTATTGCTACATACAAGAAGTAAGAATACAACTGTAGATGTCAATTGCTTCCCAAGTAAATTGATGTGAATGGAACATCCAACGTACATCATCTACCGCTATGAATGGAACATCCAAAGTTCATCATCTATCGCTGTGAATGGAATATCCAAAGTATACCATCTGTCTAATTGCCAGACATACACTGAAAACAGTGACACCGAAAACCAAACCCTTCATAAAGGATGGACTGTCGAGCATTGTGGCTCATACTAGCATCTATATAGCAAATCCGGAGTTCTTCACCTGATAAAAACACATTATTGAGATAAATGGAGTACAGATGTGATTAAAAATGACAAGAGGCCCAATGCTGAAGTGGTAAGAAGCATGAACACATGAAAACCCCAGTCGTGCAAGTTGCCAAGTCCCTCTCTGAAGACTGAAACCATACCATGTGATGGAGTCCACAAACAGTACGCTACATGCAATGTCAGCCATGTGCACAGAACCACATGGTTAAGAGGAACTGTTCCTCCATTTAAGCAGACAATGATGGACTTGAACGAAGGAACAATTCAACCAGCACATCCATTCTTGAGAATGGATGGTTGAGAATGTGTACAATGCTGTTTCTGCACTACATATATGCTGTAAACTTGCCATTTAGACATGACCACATACTTAGAAATCTGTGAAACTAGAAATATATAATACAAATACAAATTTACATATACGTTCCTTGGTTATAAAGTGTGTAAGTGCATGCCAAAGGGTGTCAGTAATGGTGCATGCCAAAGGGTGTCAGTAATGGTGTAAGTATCCATGTGTTTGTGTACCATATAACAAATAGCACGGCAGTCTTAATATGCATGGCTTACAATTCAATGAAACTTGGGAAGTGGAAAACCTGAAAAAGTAAGTGAATTACCCAAACCATGGCTAAAAACACGACACAACAAAAGAAATGCAGAGGATATTTGGCCCCATAGTTTCAATGTTCTAATGATGTCAGAATCATCTATTGAAAAAACTACGAAAATTAGAAATAGTCCAATTTGTTAATAACTTTAAAAGATCAGATCCAAGACTTGCATGAGGTAGTGCTTACCCAACACATTTGAAATAGAATATAAATGAACCTAAATATATCAATCCAAGATGCCAAACATGTGCAATGAAAACCAGGCCACTCTCTCTGTAATGCATATAATCCATAAATGGAAGCTGAATGGTCCAAGCACATAAACTAGAGTGTTCATTCTCTTGGAAAGGCCGTCAGTATCTGACTCTATTACAATAAAAGGTCTTCAAATTTGAACACTTGCAACCTGGATGATGAATATATGGTCAATAAATAATTCAGCGCATAAGTACCAAATAATAACAAAAATGGAAGTTGTAAGTCTTGCTGAAACCCCCATCTAAACTTCAAATAACCAACTGAAAGTAATAACCATTTGTGGGGCCCAGTGGTCCCTAACTCACAAATGAGGGTGGCACAGTGATCCAAAAGGAAAGCATGGGAGGTGGAGCTAAGGGCTGTTGCTATATTCCAAGGAAAAGCCAAGGCCCTGCATGACTGGACATGCCTTAGATCGGGATTTCTGCCTAGTGGCTCCATTCTAGCAATGCAATAAGGTGGACACTATGTCCTTAATGACTCGCCTAGTTGAGTCAAGGACCAATGCTCCTCATGTCGTTGAACATGGAAAGGCAGTTACCTATAGCTAAGGTCAGGATGGTCTTTTCAAGCCTTAGAGAGGCATTAAATAAGTCCTCGAGATACTTGGCCGAAAACAAGATACCTGCCAGCTTTTGGAGGAAGTCCGTGTAACCAATACTTACATCCATATATACACTTTTTTTCTTGTGTAAAATACAATCATTTGACTTGGTTTTGGTCTAAGAAGGGTGAGGACCTTAAACTTTCCCTTAACCCGTCCCAAACTCTAGTAAAGGAAGTGGGTTGTGTTAAGTAGGCAGTCAACGTAAAACTTTGTCAAAACCTTTCACGAATTTGGAATCTGTGATATTTACTTATGCTAAAGCATTCCTCGTAATCAATACGTTGTGCTGAAACCCGGGAATAGTGAGAAATGAGCATGGGTTAGCTAGAGCGTTCCCTAGAATCGACACGCTGCAACACCGCCCCTCTGCGGTGAAAAATACGTAAGGGTTCCTGCGACATTATGGACGAGTGCCAGTAAAGAAGCAAGTCCAAGAGAATAGAATTCGCCTAGCCACATGGACTGTAGGAATACTTATATGTAAGAGTATGGAGTTAGTGCATACAATAAGATGGAGAGTAAACATAGCTTATCTAAATGAAATTAAGTGAAAAGGAGAAAAAAGTAAGAAAATAAATGGGTAAAAACTTTAGTCAATAGAAAAGGATAGTAATAGAAATGGAGGTAGGCCTATTAGTAGAGAAAAAAATGCCGGTAAGCATATTAGTAGACAAAGATTTAAAAGATAAAGTTGTTAATGTCAAGAGAGTAAGTGACAGGCACAAGTAGGACTAGAGGATCGAATTAGGAGACAATTTTAGGAGGACATGGATGGACTAGTGCAAGACATACCAAATGGAGAGCAGACCTTTTTAAGAGGGGACTTAAATGGACATGTAGGGAAGGATAATAGAGGATGCAAAGGGGTACATGGAGGATGTGGGTTAGGTGAAGGAAATGAGATGGGTGAGCTATTCTAGAATTTGCTATGCCCTATGACCTAGCAATAGCAAACAGACTTTAAAAAGCGATATGAACATTTAATAACCTATAAAAGTGTATCACATAAAAGCCAAATAAACCTCTTCTTAGTTAAGAAGATAGATTGACCATGTAAAGATTGTAAGGTTATCCCACGAGAGAGTTTAATCACTCAACATAGGCTCGTGTTTATGGATGTCTGCGTAAAGACATAGAAGAGAAGGGATGAAATTAATAGGTGTCCAAGAACTAGGTTGTAGGATTTAAAAAATGAGAAAATAGACTTATTTAGGGATAAATTAGTTAAAGAAGGAAAATGGAACTTTGAACATGAGGTCATTGTTATGTGGAATGAGATAGTTGACTATCTTAAGAACGCGACAAGGATGTTTTAGGCAAATCTAGAGGAAAAGGAAATTCCAATAAGGAAACTTGGTGGTGGAGTGATGAGGTTCAAAAGGCCATTAGTGAAAAACGATCATATTGTAAAACTTGCAATGTAATAGCAATGATTAAAACTTAAAAAAATATAAAAATATTAAGAAAAATGCTAAACAAATATTACGTAAGGCTAAACTTAAAGCATATTACAATCTATACAATAAACTAGAAACAAGAAAAAGTGAAAAAGATGTCATCAAATTAGCAAAAATGAGAGAGAAAAAGTGTGGGGATCTAAACCAATTAAATCCATTAAGAATGAGGATCAAAGGGTCTCAGTGAAGGATTAAAAAGTCAACAAAAGGTGGAAAGTTTATTTTCAAAAATTATTAAATAACGAACACAATGGGAACATTGTGGTAGAAGGAACCATTGACATAAATGAGGGCGTAGGTCATAGATACATTCGTACGATTAGGATATCAGAAGTAAAATAAGGATGAAGATAAGAAAGGGCTTTAAGACCAGATGGTATTCCGATAAAGGTTTTAAAATGCATGGGGAAGATTGGTAATGATTGGTTGACCAAGTTGTTCAACATAGCATAGAGAACAAAGAAAATAACTGCAGCATGAAGGAAAAGTATTGTAGTACCTGTTTACAAGAATAAAAGACATATACAAATTTGTGGGAACTATCGAAGGATCAAACTTATGAGCCACACTATGCAGCTGTGGAAGGGAGTGACTGAGCAACGACTAAGGCATGAAATGAGAGTATCAGAAAACCAATTCAATTTTATACTAAGAAGGTGAACAATTGACTCTTTTTTCCTACTCAGGCAACTGGTTGAGAAGTTTAGGGTGGAGGTAAAATACCTCTATATGGTCTTTATTGATCTAGAGAAAGCTTATGATAGAGTACCTCAAGATTTGATTTAATGGGGTATTGGAAAAGAAATGAGTCTCCAGACACCATATTGACTTGGTGAGAGATGTACGAGAGAGTGCTAACTAGTGTACGAACCACTGGTGGAGAGACGAGTGAATTTTTAGTGACAATAAGTCTACATTAGGGGTCAGTATTGAGCTCATACCTCTTTGTCTTAGTTATGGACGAATTAACTAGGCACCTACAAGATGACGTACTATGGTGCATGTTGTTCGCAAATGGTATAGTTTTGATCAATGAGACTCGAAATGACACAACACAAAATTAGAACTTAGGAGGGATGCTCTAGAATCTAAACGTTTTAAAATTAACCGGATTAAGAAAGAGTATATGGAATGCAAGTTTTGTAAAAACAAGAGTACAAACAAGGAAGTAGTTAAGATTGACGGCTAAGAAATACCAAAAAGAGTGCACTTTTGATATCTTGGGTCAATAATCCAGGAAAATGGAAAGATGTAGCACATAATTTGAGCTGGGTGGGAAAATTGTAGATGTGCAACTGGAGCTTTATGTTATCGCTGCATACCAATGAAGTTAAAAGGGCAAGTTCATAGCATTGCTTTATGGGGCAGAATGTTGGGCGGTCAAGAAACAACATACCCATAGAATGAGTGTAGCTGAGATGAGGATGTTGAGATGGATGAATGACAAGACAAGAGGGGATAGACTTTGAAATAAATACATTTAGGAGAATTTAAGTGTGGCACCAAAAGTTAATAAGATGAGAGAAAGTAAACTTAGGTGAGCTGGCTATACATGGTGTAAACACAATACAACACATGTTAGGATATGCGAGTTAGTTCAAGTGGAAGGCTAAAAAAGGGCAAGGGGTAGGCTCAAAAGGGTATGGTTGGAAGTAGTGAGAAAAGATATGGGGACTTATGGCCTCACTGAGGGCATGGCCCATGACCCTTAATAGAGCAGAATGACGCATTAAGATTCGTGTAGCCGACTCCAATTAGTTGGGAAAAGGCTTTGACGATGACGATGATGATGATTTGACTTGGTTTATGAGTAACCGTGGAATAGTTCAAACCGACTGCCACCTTAGAGATTTTAGGTGCTATGGGTTGTTTGGTTTTTAATCTCACACCGGACCTTGCAAACCTCCTATGGACTTTGAAGCCCTTCTTTTGCTCTTCTGATAGGAAAAACAATCATAGATAGGGTTAAAGTTGTAAAGCTCATCGATAGCCCTCCAACGAGTGATAATACGCTCAAAGCATAATTACGAGTAGATCTTTATGGCCTAAATACGTAGGA